CAAACCTTCAGTGATGCAGATGGAGCTAAACAACTTTCAAGACTGGTCCCTTCACAACCACATGCTGCTAAACCCGGACAAATGCAAAGCAATGGTAATCTGCTTTATGAAATATCCACCCCCGCTTCCAGTCCTCACCATCAACCAAACGCAGCTAGAGGTAGTTTGTGCCACATGTCTCCTTGGGGTTTGGATCCAAAAGAACCTAAAATGGGATATGCACGTAGACAAGACCATCAACAAGGCTAACGGACGGCTGGCCATGCTACGAAAAATTAAACGTTTCAGCCTATCCACTGAGGACCTACTACAAATATACATAACCTACGTCAGATCAGTGCTAGAGTACTGTGTGCCAGTGTGGCACTCTGGTCTCACAGCAACACAAACCACGAGACTAGAAAGAATCCAGAGGAGAGCACTACGAACCATTCTTGGCATGAACTACACCGACTACAAGAGCGCTCTGCTCAACACAGGCCTGAAGTCGCTCCAAGAACGACGGGTGGATCTGTGCCTAAAATTTGCCAGAAACCTGAGCCCAGAAATGCTCCCACCGAGAACTGGAGACAGCCACGGCATCACCACCAGGAACTCTGACAAACTAAGAACTATTAAGTGCAAAACTAAGAGATACAGAGACTCCCCCATTCCGTACCTAACAAGATTACTCAATAGCTGTTAATAGAGCTAAATACTACCGATTTTCCTTGTCCAGAATTCTCCTGCAATCTTTAATCCTTTCAATGCCACTCTCCCAATGAAATGTGGGTAGTTTGTTTGATTTTAGAACTACTAGTAATCGAAATTGTTGTTGTCTTTTTTAAATATCGAAATGTTCAAAGAAAATGATTATATAAGGATTCCCTACTACTTTTAATGCCACTTCTCTTAATGAAATGTGTGTAGTATTTTAGATTTTAAAACTAATTGATACTGAATTTGTCTGCTCTTAATACTTGACTTTTTGAAAGAAATTGATCATATGTGGAATTATCGCAAATTTAGTCTACAATTTCCGTAAATTATCGTAATCTGTGTAACACTTATAATTTGGATGTGATTCAATTAGAGACATTTTGTAAGTTGTACGTAATTCAGCCAAGTGGCTGCGAGGTATCAACTGAAATAAACCATTCATATATATTACCTTTGATTAAAATGAGCCCCAGACTGCTAAGTATTCCTACCGTGCTCTCGGTTTGAGCGCCCAGAATTGATTAATTAGGATACTTCCTGGTGGAGTTACAACAAGCCCATTACAGGTAATGACTGCTCCTCAAATGTACCAAATTACCTTAATGCTGGGCTATTCAATTCCCCAGTGCACTAGCTACCCCACCTCCCAGGGTTGGCTGTGTTTCACATCCAGCAAAGTCAATGCCACACCAAGTCATTACCTCAATTGGTTTTCAGACATTTTACGTTAATATCAAACACAAGGTCCAAATTAAAACAGAGGGCTAGAAGGAAAATTACAGTTTGACTATATTCACTCTGAAAATGTTTGTACCAAGTTACATACATTCCCTTTTGACTATGTTTTATGTGGATCATCCAGTAACTGTTGTATGTAATGGTTTTTGTATTCACCCTCTAAGCCTGTTTTGCTTCATATTCCAGTGCAAACAAGAAATCTACAACATCAAGCAAGAAAGATTGGCACTGGCACAAGATGAGGTAAGGGTCTTGTGGTTAAGACCTAAGTGATGACAACCTCACTTAGCTTGGCAACGTGAGAGGGACACACCCTAACGTGGCATCAGCACATTATTTGTCAATGAAGCAATGTTTCCGCAGAGATATTTCAACAGGAAATCCCCACAGAGAAATGTAATAATGTTAGCATTTTCCAATAAGTCATCGCTGGAATTAAGGCCTTTTGAAGTATGGGATTTGGCAAGTGTGCTATCGTGACGTCATGGTATCTTTTATCAAGGATGGAATGTTTCCTTTGACGATTTTTCAATAGAAAATCCCTGTAGAGAAGTGAAATAAAGTTAGTATTGGTTAGAATTTGAAGGTTAATCATATATTAAAGGCATTTTGCACCAAGTGCTAGACTTATAGTGTGAGTGCCCCTTTGCTTGGTTATTTGTTAGTTTTATCCTGTGCTATGGATGCTACAGGTGACTCCAGTGATTATGGAGCTGAGGGATACAGTTACACACAGGTGGTGTGCGAGTTCATAACAGTCTTACTGTCATATCCCTTCATAGTCAGGAAAGTATTTGATTTATTTGTCAAGCTGTGAAGAAAAAATGTTTGTTGTCTTTTTTTTCAGTTCCAGCACCTAAATGACGCCCTCCATGGCTGGAGGTCAAGTACTAGCTGTAAGTACAAACCAGCTTACAAGCTTACTAACAAACTCGAACATTTTCTTTGTACTGATTGTGAATAGACAAGTTTATCACATCATAGTTTTCTTTCTACACTGAACAACGTGGGTACTGTATTCCCTTTCTTATTTGGCCATTGCCATTGATTGCGACATTTTCACCTTTTCAAACAATCTCTTTGTTTAAGAAATACCACACATGTCACAGTTGCAGTGTAGTTGATCCAAAGCCAACATGAAATTCCCTTCCTGTTCTATCCCACTGATTGGAAATCTCTCTTTTACGCCTTCCCCCATCCTTTCCCTCAGTATTTCTCCTTTTTCCTAGAAAAAAAAGTTTCATCATCAGTGGGCTTGTTTGTGTCTGTCAGGAGTGCAGTGGAGACTAGCTCAGCACAACACAGTCCTGAGAGTGTGACCTGTAGTTATTAAGATCCCTGCTGACAGACAGGGCTCCAGCCCGCACCCTGATTTCATCATTGGACAGAATTTTTGTGCCCATGACTGACAAGTATAACAGCCACACAGTCAAAAATTTCTGCACTTCTTGTTGAATAAGAATGAAATTGGCTCAAGTTTCTCCAGAACTAAAGCAGGGGTTGAGAAGAGATGAGGGTAAAAATGTGGAGCTTGCTGACAGGTCTGGGGGAATGTTGCCTAATGACTGTCCTTCATGGCAGGCCTGGTGGACGATAACATCAGTAGTTATCATCACTGCACACTCCCGCTCCTATCAGCCTCACAGATCTGACTGGGCAGTAATGTTATCTGTCTCACAACCCCCTCCCCTTTCTTCACTTTGGACCTGAAGAAAGATGTACCAGACTTTTTTCTGTAGGCCTGGCCAATTTCTTTCCTTGGTTTTCAGACAAGAAGGTAGTAAGAGGGCTGGAGTCTTCATATTGACTCTCGACTCTAGAATTGTGTACCAAGGCACAGACTTCAGAATTGCCTGGTTTAGCATTTTTAAAGAAAAATACAGTAGAACAAACAAATTTAACTTGTAGACTATATTCTTCCCAACTACATTTTAATATATTTAACATAGTTTTTCAAATAGTTCCAATTTTATTCTAGATTGGCCTTGTCGACATTTGGTTTCTTTTTTGTTGCTTGAATTCTTGGTCCCCATTCTTTGAACCACAGGAAATAGAAACCTTAACCTTGAGATTTTGGTAAGAAATTGATCGAGATAGATACAGAGATGAGTTTTTGAAACCCGCAGGTAAAACCGATGCACAGGTGACCAGACCTTTCAGCTGTCTGTTTGGCCTGGAGCCAACCCTTGCCACTGTGGCCACAGCCTTTGTGTACTAATTACACAGTTGCCCCACACTCTCTTTACTTTACTCTTTTCTCCTGCAAACCTACGACAAAGACGGAGAATGCCAGGAATCTGCCCCCTGCCAAAACAGATGGGCTAACTATTAGCAGTCCTTTGTTTGAGCCAGGTTGGAATGCTCCCCGGCTAAGACGTGTTAAGCCTTCATTACGGCCGTCCCTCTCACCAGTGCATATATGCACTTAGCTACGCAGCACTGAAATATGCGGGATGGCGAAACCTGGCCAAGAAACTCACAGACAAAAATGGGAGAAGGGGGCTTGACTTCGCTTGTGTAGGACTCTCTCATTGACAAAAGAGTTACATAGGGTAGTGTGCATGTAGCTCCTTCACTAAAGTGATGTAGACACTAAGAGGGGAAGAACTCTCGTTATGTCAGACTAGTAAGTAGAACTCTGAATCAGCGGTCGTTCATTGTCAGTGTCCAAGATGGCGAAGAGAGAAACTCTATATAAAACAAACAATTTATAAGGATTTAGAAATCATTCAATGAATCTGGTTCTTGACGCACATCATCATTTGCATTAGAACGGCCTCTCAGACATTGAAACACCCCCTGTAATCACAGTGCCAGTGGCGACAGGGACAGCACGCGCATTGTCGGCCATTGTTTGAAAGCAGATGGGCCACAAAGATCGCTGACACCTGGGTAAAAAGAAGAATGTCCGGAATTAGTGGCCCTGTCAGAAGCCTTTGTCTAGACAGGTTGTGCCTTTGTTTGGCTGAATTTACACGTGGCGTGCCAGTTGTCAGGAGTGATTGATAACCGGTCCTTTGAAATCAATCAAGTGTTTATTGTGCAGTTATGATTCTTTAAAAAATGATGAATGAAAATGCAGATGTTTCAGTCAAGACCTTTCCTCTCTTGCATCAGCCATCAGAATCTACTAGTATATATGACCGATCGGTTAGCAATCCTGCTTTTGGACCAGAGGGTTCACAGTTGGAATCCAGCTTTCGTTGATCCCCCAACCTGCATGCAAGTGAGTTGCAGTCCTTCGGATGGGACTTTGGGCCACTGTTCATTGAGCCAGTCTTTTTTTTTTTTTTGGCCACAGCCAGTCAATATTGAAGTTTTACTCTCAAAATCTATAAGATTTGTGATCAATATAGGATATTACCAATACCCTGGACAACAAAAAGAAATTGGATTCCACACAGATATCCCAAAGGTCGAAGAGGCTTTTACCTATGACCTTGCATGTCTACCTTGAGATTTTTGTCTAAGAGAAGGTCTGAGGGATTAAAATTTTTTACTGGATGGCTTGGACCTTGGTACCTTTTCCAATTGGGCCAGAGAGCTACACAGATATCAGATAACAATAGGCAGGTGAGCAGTTGACAAGACAGTCATGTTTCTCAAGCACTGTCATGCAGAATGATGTACATACTCATTTCTGAGATCTATTCAAATCTCAAATTTACAGCATATTTGTTAATCTATGACATATCCTTTGGAAGTATATGCATTACTTTCAAGTTGCTCGAAGGTTCACTGACATTTTTGAAGCTTGGATTATAATTGCCCAAGTTGAAAGTTTAGTCAGCAAAATTTATTACCATTTTGTCATTTTGCCATATCACGTTCCCCACCTGTATGAAGTAAGCCTTTATGTATGACTTGATTTACGAAAGAAACCTTGTTTGTCATTTTGTTGCCGGACATACCAGCGTTCAGAAAACACCTGTCACACACAATAGAACCATTGTTATTGATAAGTTAAAGGCACGAGCCCTGTTGTGTGAAAGAGTAAACAACAAGTCTGTATCTCTGCTCCTTACGTACTATTAAGCCATGCTCAGCACTCAGTTAATTCTTATATATATGTAGCATATCGTTGAAGACAGTACATATTTAATTCTCAACAAATTTTGAACTTACTTGAAGAATGCAACCAGACTTGCACAGCTAAAGGTTGTAGATAGATAATCATAGGTCATTGTTAATTGTTGTTTGGAAAAAAGTGTAACCTGTACTTTTACTATTTCCCTACAGTGTGTTCCTCCTCATCTACAGCCAGCACCAAGTATGACCCCGACCTGCTCAAGGCAGAGGTGGCCACCGCCAGAACACGGGTAAGATATTGTTACAGAAACATGCTACTACACAGATTTACCAAATTCTGAATGTTTCATAATTTCTTTGTACCGTAAATAGCATTTTGATCAGTGTCTCTGTCAGCAAAAGCTCCAAACGGGATCTTTACTGGTAGAATCAGTGCAAAACAAGTCTCTACTCTGACATATACACAGATTTACAAAATGCTAAACATTTCAGTTTATTTCTTTGTAGTAGCAGTAATGGCTTGGACAGAAAACTGAATAGATAGCCCAACATAGGACACATGTCACATTTAGCTACCAACTCTCCAGGCATTATCCTCAGGCATCAAACCTCTGAACGTAAAAGAGCCCAACATACATATCAAAAAGGTGACCCAGTGTGCTTGACTGGAAATGTGAGCTGTAGCAAAGCCACAGTGCATCAATACCTGAAGGTAGCACCATGCTTCACCTTACTTGAGGTGAATGTCTGTTTTCCCTTACTTACTGCCAATACTGGGATCATCAAAAGGCTGAATGTTGGCCCTGAAGTTCAAAGTCACTTTCCAGTCAATCAGCATTAGTGCACATATAATACAGATCCCGTCCATTAACACAGTTGTACCTTTTAACAACTGTGGCCTTGAACTTGAAGGAAACAAAGACGCCGACTTCTTCAAAAGATCATTACACCTGCAGGTGGTGTGTAGGGATGTGACAGACACAATGCCAAGGTCAGACCTGCCATGCTCTAGTAAACATGGCTGGTTGTCAAACATGCCAACACAATATACTTCCTCTGGGAACCCATTATAGTCCATGGACTGGGGACAAAAAGACAGTGTTTTACTTCTAAATCAAATGAATTTAATTTGCTGGTTTGGTTCTCTGATTAAGAAAAAAGATAATGCTATACATAGGTTAACTTGGAAACAGCCAATTTATGTCCTGGTACAGAATGTTTCAGAGAGTGAGTACAGTAAGATTCGAGTTTGGCTGTCATTCCTCTAAATCTGCTTCCATCTTCAATGATCTTGTTCACTCATTTGATGTCTGAACTGTCAGAGAACCATAGAAATGAACTGGTGTGGCCTTAGTCAGTTAGAAAACCACCAGTTCTCTGCAGTTTCATCACCATTGGGAGAAGAGGAAAGATTGGGACGTCTAGAAACCGGCAGAATGACTGGATTATTCTTCACGAACTTTGTATGACCTCCCATGGAAGTGACCCCTGTATGACCTTGAGCACAATACAAACATTGACTACCACATTTCTTACTTAGGGTGGGGACTAGAACTGAAAAAAAAAACTGTACTTTACAGATGAAGGATACTTCTGTGTTACTGGGGCAAAGGAGGTTTCTGTTAGAAGAATTTTTAGGTGTATGTTACACATACTTCCTGGCTCCCTGGGCTGGGAACGAGTGACAAAAGTAAAGCGTTCTAGACGTGTAAATAAAACAGCTGTGACAGGACGACGGTCGGTGTAATTAGAACGTGGAGTGGCCAGAAGTAACCTCACGTTTTTTTTCGACGGCAGCTCAAATGGCGTCACTCACTGTAAATCAGAAATGGCACCATGGGTGGGTTGGACTGTCTACCCTCTGTGCACACTGGGAATGGAAGAGGGCCTGCATGCCCTTTTTCGGAAGGCGTAATCTGGCCTTTTTAGTCTTCATAATCTGTAGGCAGACTCCCCCAAAATCAACGTAATTCGTAATAGTACATTAGCCGCAAAGCATAAAGTCGCGATCTGCTCTGAGACTTTAATGTAGTTCGTAATCGGCGGCGAAAATTTTGCGTAATTCGTAATCACTACCCCCCATGCAGGCCCTTATGGATGTTAGCATTCTGAGAAATGAATGTTGATTAGGGCAGATTTTGGCACAAGTTATCAACAATACCACATGTGTGAGCAAGGCCACACAAGCAGGACTGAGGACATACCTGGCATCAAACTCATACGGGCTATAATTCAGCTGTCAGGTTTTGTAAGATCTCATAAATCGAATTACTTATTTCTTGGACCGAATCATGAAAATTGAGTTGGACAAAAAACTGTACCAAGTGAAGAGACCTGTTTCTGATTGAAAGACTATCAATGCAATTCTTTCAGCATTAACTTATCATATAATCATAATATCAGCCCAGACCGAATCTCTGCCAAGTTCATTGATTGATTGATTGATTGATTGATTATTTGATTGATCAACAGGTTGGAAGACTTAAGAGAGAGGTGGACCAAATGCGGTCAGAGCTGTACTACAAACAGAAGGGGGTGGACACACTACAAGCGTGAGTAACGTTTCTTAACATGCATTAACTATGACTTTATTTTTCGGCATATTCCAATAGTGCAGACCCAATCATCCTTTAGTGATCATGACAACGCTACCATTACATTCTTTCTATCCAGAAACTTTATTGATTGCCATGCTGGACTAGTTTTGCTTTAGAAGTAGACAGACACTAAATGAGCACCGGAAAGAAAGGATGTACTTGTATACGTACTAGTGCATGCTGCACTGGCATGATGGGTTTCTTAAGGTCAGTGCACTCTGTTATATAGTTGGATTTTTAGGATCTCAAAATGACAGGGTTGTCAAAATGACAGGGTCATGAACTATGAGTAAGACATTGTTTGACGCCACAGCTTGAGTGATTAGTGCACGCTTGCTGACAACTTGGTCTTGACTATTGTCAGTCTTGTAGATTCTTTGTGAAAATGTGGAAAAGAACTGAAATTAGGCCCCTGACTGTTTAGAATAGGATTTTCCAGTTACATGAAACATGTAGATTATTCGCGAACCTGAACTGGATAGAAATACGTACATAACCAGTTTTCTACTTCAGGGGATAGTTTCAGAGTACAGTATCTGAATAACCGCCTTACCTGTTCTATTCCGTGCAGAGTTGAAGCAAACATGGTAACCTTTGTTCAGTCATTTGGAAGGGGACAGTTACAGAGTATCTGAAGCTCTGAGGAAGGTGTCTGATAGACACTGAAACATCAGCAGCTTAGGTGAGAAAATTTGGTCGTGTAAAAGAAAAGCCCTGTATCCAACCTCTGTTTGTGTTCTGTTCCGTGCAGAGTTGAAGCGAAGATGGTGAACGGGCACGGTAACTACCAGCGGGACGAGGCCCAGGCCATCATGGAGGAGCTGCGGGCCATCCAGAAGAACCTGACCCTGCGGGAGAAGGAGAAGGCGGACCTGATGCAGTCCCTGGCGCGCCTCAAGGAGCTGTTCCGGGGCAGCGCAGAGAACCTGCAGGCCAGCAGCTGTTCCCTCAACCTGTATGACAGCAGCAGCTCGCTGGCAGCCAGGTCCAACACAGCCTCGCAGACAGACGTCACAGGAGAGGTCAGCACGCAATTATTTGTTTCTCTAAACAACAGTCCACATACCAATTATCAGAACAATCCATCTAAGCCTTCTGGTTTATTATCTTACTTGCACACACACACACACACACACACACACACACACACACACACACACACACAAATGCCTCACTGGCAGCCAGGTCCAACACAGCCTCACAGACAGATGTCACAGGAGAGGTCAGTGCACAATGTTTGTGTTTCTAAACATTGTATGACCCAAAATCTAGTTATTTTGAGGTCTCATCAAGAACAATCCACACACCAACTATCAAGACAATCTTGGGGGTCCGGGGGCCATATTTTCACACACACACACACACACACACACACACACACACACACACACACACACACACACACACACACACACACACACACACACACACACACACACACACTTGCAGAGTCACACACACACTTGCAGAGTCACACACACACTTGCCACTGAAAACTCTGCAGCAGAAGAATTTTAGTTTTGTCACTGTATATCATAAATGGATAGAGTAAAATATGAAGTACAAATTTTTGTCACAGGGTATTACATGTTTTCTCTTTTGTTTCAGTCATTCCAGTCGCTAGGTGCCAAGCTAGCAGAGAGAGCACGGCTCAGGCTACAGTACGATGAAGCCAAGAGAAGGTACGTTTCCCCCACTACTCAAGATGTACAGTACATCTTTCCCATGTCATGAGAGCCCTCTGGTGGCCAAGTTAGGAACTGCAGTATAGGCAAGCCAAGTGCTTGTCAAAGTGAACTGTTCTGAATGGTATGGAATGTTTCATGAAGTGGTTAAAACCTTTGCACAAGTAAACATAATAAGGTTTTAAGCTTCATGTACATTTTTGTATACAATTCACTTTAGAAGAGTCATGATTTCCTGCTCTTATTATTCATTTTATTGGTTCAGCTGTACAAAATTGACAGCCGGGGTTGCCCAACTAGTTACAAGACTATTTTAAAGGGCAAACCCTGACGACAAGGACAACAAGCTACATAAGAAAAGGACAAGACATTAAAATCAAAGTCGTCAACTCATTACATCTACAGGATTATCTATACGTAGATACACATAGGCTTTATCTAAAGGGCACTGATCTTATGTCTGGCAAAAATTCATTTTTTGTACCTGAAATTTTTCTTCCCCACGTTTTAGGCTTCATGTACATTTTTATAAATAATTCACTACAAAAGAGTCATGATGTCCTGCTCTTATGTCCGCTTAAAAGTCATTTCTTGTACCTGGAATTTTTCTTTTTTCTCCCCCAGAGTGGCGAGATTACAAACGGACCTTGCCGAGATTGATGACCAGGTGTTACCGGGCGTGGCGGACTGCGACAAGGACCGCCTGCTCCTTATCTCCGAGAAGGAGAAGCTCCTCAAGGAGCTGAAGAGCGTCAACCCTCGGAAACGGACGGAGGAGGACCGTGAAAAGCTGGCGGATAAGAAGCGCCACCTAGAGGAGGAACTGAACAATGCAAAGGAGATGTCAAACAGGGTCATATCTGATAGGTGAGGATATTTAGATGTGGGCTTGACTAGAAAAGAGTCTAAGACTGTGGGTTTAACACATGCAAATCTTATTTTCTGCCCATCATTATTTCTTTAAAATCATCAGTAGAAAAACATAATTTTTACTAAAAATCCCACTCGTGTCTCTGGGTCATTCTGCATGTTAGTAATTTACAATCTTATGTATGTAACAAGGGTACTAGATAATGACTTAGCTTGAATGTTTTCAGCCCATAAGTAATGTATTTCCTGCATGTGTTGTATAATAAGTTCCCCAGGCCCATCCCAAAAACAGTGGCCAACCCTGTTTCGACAAAAATACAGTTAACAATAGTCATAACAAACCAACACATTTTTCTGCAGGTTAAAGTTGCAGGAGAAGAGGAACACACTACTGCAGCAGCTGCAGGAAGCCACCAGGCTGCTCACATACCTGGAAACACAGATCAAGAGGTAGGATTGTTTGACAACTCAGCAACCATAATCATGAAAATTATTTGTGACAAAAAAAACACAATAGTACAAGAGCATTGGACTGTACCAAGCTACCACTGCTGGTGTACATGTAGTTGCTGCAAGTACATGTACAGCACTGTACATTGTTGTTAAGAGAAGAATATGTCCCAGCATGTAAGTTTACCTTTGCCTGTTTAAGTTCAGTTTCAGCAGGTGAAAGTACATTTTGCATTAAATCGTCTTGTCTGCATTCTCAGCATTTCAACAAGCACGCTGTCCATTTCCTCTGGGTCGTCCCGAGGGTCGTTAAGTAACGCGTCCAGCCGGGGTTCCCTCTCGGCCGCGTCCAGTAAAGGCTCGCTGAGCTCCCTCAGCTTCACCGACATCTACGGAGCTCCGCAGAATGATATCAGCTTTAGAGACCTCAACCAGAAGGTACGTCATTGTTAAAAATTTTGATGTTATTCTTTTTGTTGTTAATGCAAGCTACACTAAGCTTTCTTGGTTTTGCTCAGCATTGACTAGGTATTTGTTGTAAGTTTTCCTCAGCGTTGTGATTAAGTGTGATTCATTCTGTTGTTAATGCAAGCTACGTGCCAGGAAAACGTAGGTTTTCTTGGTCTGCCTCAGCAACTTTTGTCGTGAGATGTTCAAAGCAATCGTATGTTCGTTTACAGTATAAAAGGATGTTGAATGTTAATAATTAATTTACACAATTTTACAAAGTTGGAGGATTGCAAGTGGGAACCATAGCTAGCTCAGGTTACTCTGTTCGGTTGGTAATTAAGCTCTGGGGTGCAACCTGTTATAAAGATTTGGTTTAATCTAGTTTTTGTATGTCCTGTAGGTGGAGGGCCTGTTACAACAAGGAGGATTTATCGAGAGATTCCGAACGTCGATTTCCCCCATCCACGAGAACCAGGTGTCGGGAGCCTCCTCCACAGACACGCCCATTTCCCAGGGACCAACTCTTCAAATTAATAGCAAACCGAACGACACGCCCAAGTCGTTAACCTCGTTATCGCCACGCTCCTCGTTATCTTCCCTCTCCCCGCCCGGGTCGCCCTCGGGGGCGGACGCCGTCGGCGCAGCGGACTTGTTTCCCGCGGTGGGCGGCGGGGACTTCGACCAATCGCAGGTGGAAGCCAAGCTGGCGGAACTCAGACTGATGGAGGCGCAGGCGAACCTGGAAAACTCGCCCGACGGGAACAGCTGCCCCGCGAACGCGAACACAGACTCCTCGAGAACTGTCGGGTGCAGCACGGACTTGGAACTGGACTTCTCGCGACCCATGGACATTAACAACATTATCAACAGCCCCCTGAGTCCTATTAGTGAGGGGATAGCAGGTAAGGAACTGCACAGTTCAGTCTGTTTTTTTTTTGTAGTTGAGATGTACGATAGTTCTTGGAAATACACCATAACAAATTTTCAAACCGTAGCCAGGGGGGGATTTGTATCTCTGGTTTTTCTTTTGAAATCCTCTCAAAAATGCAGGAAATGCCATTTCAGAAGGTTCAATTTTCAAAATTTTCCAGGGCCCCCCTAGAAAACTTGCACCTTTGGCACTTGCACCTACAGCACTCACTGGTCCCTTGGACAGTAGAAAGAACCCCCCAGCCAAAATCCCAGCTATGCTGGGGCATGCTGGGTGTCCAATAAGAAATCAGTGTAAGTGAAGTACTGTTGTGCAGTTAAAACTTTTCCGTCTTTCCTAATGCTCTTTCCTTCCCCCCGTCCCCAGGTGTGGACTTCCCTGAGTCGGAGGAGTCAGCGCACCTGTCCGCGGGAAACCCTCGCAGCGTCTCCGCTGCCATCTCGGACGAGTCTGTCGCTGGCGACAGCGGTGTCTTCGAGGCTTCCACAAAAAGGTGCGTTAACCCTTGTCCTTCTGGCATTTTCATGTTTAACCAAAGGAAAACATAGTATTTTTGCTCAGTTTTTTCCTCTTTTTCCTCTTCTTGTCCAAACAAATAAGGTCAATGACCTGGATCAGATGGCTGTCACCATGGTAACTGGTGTTGGGTTACATCTCATGTTGCAATTTTATAGCAGGAGGGATTTAGACTCCTGTCTGACCATATATATAAATGTGTCTGAGTAAGAATGAACAGAGCAGACCATATGCTTTGCAAATGTTACCTTTCTAGTTTGGTTATGAATTTCTGGCACATCTGTCAAATCCCAGGAAATCTAACAATTTTGTGCTTTTTGCATTGCAGGCCGGGGGAGATGGACGAGGTATTCTGCGACAATGAGATTAATCTAGAATCAGCACAAGTACAAGTAGGACTCAAGTACGACTTCACAGAAGGCCAGTTAAGCATCCGAGTGGAACAGATTCGTAACCTCTCAGCATTAAACGTGGAGCAGGGCAACCAGATGTGAGTACTGTGTTACATATACTTCTATTGAGAATGTTTTCCCACGGCATTAGAGCTACAGATAGAATTGAATATTATTGATGAAAGTGAAAGATAAAAATGTATTGTGTTGTCATTGCAATGCTGATTGATACATATGTATCTGATATGTTGGTCAATGCCGGAAATACTGTTCAGGATCACCAAAAAGTTTGTATGCATACATGTAGGTTGGCAGTAGTAAACGTTTGTAGTACAAAGCAGATCCAGTCAGCATTTTAACCCGAGGCTCCTTGATTGCCCTGAGGAAGAATGATGATTATGGAGAGTCACTGAAACATTGTGTGAGGTACCAGTTGTAAATAAAGAACTTTGTTGGGAAAGGTACAATATGTCCTAACCCTGTCCCGTGCTGTCCACAGTTGTGTCCGTGCGGCCCTGCTGCCCTGCCCGCCCAACGCCAACTTCACCTTTGCCACCAAGCCGACCTCTGACCTTGCCAACCCGGTGTTTAACGAGCTGTTTGCTCTGCCTGTGATGGAGAACACGCTCTACACCAAGACGCTGCAGATGCACATCTGGGCCCTCAGCACTGAGCAGGAAGAGGACTGTCTGGTGAGAACTTGTCTTCAGACCTATTTTTAGACATGGCCTCTTGTTCATGTACTATGTATATTATCAAATGGTGTTGTATAAGCCTACACGAGTTGGACGCGGGAAGTGCACATGGAAATAAAGACTCATTCATTCATTCGTCAAAAATCACAATACACCTCATTCAATGCAATTCCAGGGCATCGAAACAAAAAAATATTCTGAATGAGGAAATCTGTCTGATATTGACCTTTACTGCCAGTTCTTAGCATATTTTCCTCATAATTTAATAATGGAAGTGTTTGTAATAGCCCCTAAACAACCTACGTGGGGTTACCTTTATCTTTTGGTACCATGAAGAAGAAATATTTTTGTAGTGCAATTTTATTCTTATTTTGCTGGAAACTTTGATGCTAGATGCTAACTAAACCTTGTGCTGCTGCAGGGCTGTGCCCAGATCAGCCTGGCAGACTTTGACGCCACGTGCGGACCGGCGGGCACGGTGCGGTGGTACAACCTCCTCAACTTCAAGTTCCTGCAGTGCGAGAGCCGCAAGTGCAGCGGGGGCTCCCTGTCCGACAGTCCACAGGCCTCCACTCCTGTGGTTAGTATGCTTGTACTGCAGAGATGATGTGGTGTCTTGTGATTTTGATCACCTAGATTTAGTGTCTCCTTTCTCAGTTCTGATCATATGAAAAAAAGACCTTATTTACCAGAAGATTTTTTTTCTCTTTTATACGCTAACGTAAACAATAGCCTGGGTTGTAACATTATAACACTCCTGGCTAATCATTAGTTTACAGCAACTAAAAGGTGCCAGCTACATGTAGAAGTCCTGATGGTGGAAAGAAGATGCTGGTGTACTCTTGTTTTAAATAACTGGAGGTTGTTGCAGCATGTTTCAAATGACTGGAGGCTGTTGCAGCATGTAACTTTAAGTCTCCTTTTTGGCTCTAATTAAAAACGTTGTTGTGTGGATTTTTGCAGTTTCTCGTGACCTTGATGGTTTTTCTTTTCGTCAACAGATCCTGGAGGAGCCGGCTGAGCAGTCTGACTCGGTGAGTAGTGAAGTGAGCAGGCCTCACCCCACCATTGCAGAGGAGGACGTCGCGCCAGCCGCGCAGGACACACAGGACAGCTCCCTGCACAGGGGCTCCCCCTTACAGATCATCGAGGAAGTGCAGCAGGCGGGGTTAGACGACACGCTGACGCCCCGGGGAGGCAGCGACACGCCCACGCCGCAGGACTGTAAGAGGCTGGCTCAGGAGGAGGGTTCGCCGTCACGAGAGACGGACACGCCAACACCAGGCAGCCAACCACAGACAGGAACACAGCCCACGCTGGAGGATATTGTCATGTGTGATAAGGTGAGTTAGGGCTTTTTTTATACTACTTGTCTCACAAGATGTGACTTTAAAGTGAGTGAGTGACTGACTGACTGACAGGATGGATGGATGAATGAGTGAATGAACCAGATTTAATGAATGTGCTGCAGCTGTTAAATAATTGTACTTAACTAATTCTAGATGTTAAATATTTGTGATATTTTAGATACATGTACAGGAAGCAATTAGTAGCATTCGGCAAGGAGGATAGACCTTGCTGCACATGTATGTGTACCAAACTTATAGAATAAATGTAACAACACTTTTAATAATACTTTTATCCGCTGACCATTTGTTCTAGGAGACCAACACAGAACAGCTGCTGTCCCCAGACGATGCTGTCCACAAGGGCAGAGCCAAGCGCAGCGACCCCCTGAGGAACAGCACGATCGTCCGCTCCAAAACCTTCTCGCCTGGCAACCGTGTCAACAAACAGTCGGGACAGTACGTCTGCAAGGTCAGTAGCCAATCACAGCACTTCCTGAGAAACTGTCAATTAAAGCAGTCTTGATCAGAGTAGACTTATTATCTGCAGAGTGATTTTCTAACAACAACAAGGTCCCGTGATTGAGGCCACACCTGGAGCACGTTTAAGATCCATTGCACACTCACCCCCTTATTGAAAAGAGTAAGGTTTCTTCACAGTATGAGTGGTTTAAACCTTACAGTCCTGTCTTACGCAGCTTGTACTTACTGTACAAAACTGGTGTGTTGCGCCTGAAGGCGGTTTACCAGTTATGCAAAACAAGCAAAGACATCACTTCTTCAGTAACTAAAAATCAAAATATTTCTTTTTCCAAGTTCATCCAGTGAGAAAATCAAGTATCATGTAGTGTCTCAGGTCTCCTCTCTGGCCAAAATCATACATGTCCAGTTGACTATATGTATGTGCACAACTGAACTCTTGTTCTCATGTTTCTGTGCTCAGTTGAACCGTAGCGACAGTGACAGCTCCATGCCGCAGTACAAGAAGGGGCCGTTCATCCGCAACTCCATGGAGAGAAGAAGCATGAGATGGAAGAAAAACATGGTGAGCATTTAAAGAAACAAGTCGGCTTAATGCAAAGTACAGCCTCTGTCTTTGTTATCTTGAATTTTGTCAAAACTTAGTTGGATTTTCCAAATGCAGTGTTCTAGTCAGCTTTCTCTGTTTCTATCTTTGCCCCTCATGACGGACAAATATTTTATGAAAAATCCATCATCTTTGTCAGACGTGCAGAAATATGGAAAGACCTGTCATCAAACTTTTAAAACAAAAGTGCGATGACAAAAAAATAGTGCTGGCTAAATGTTTAACACCAAATGTTTAAGATGACAAGCATTAAACGATTATTACATGTGTCATTCTGTAGCAACAAGCTGCATCGAAGGCCCAGAAGGACAAGAACAGCAAAAGGACGTCCTTAGACCTGGAGCTGGACCTGCAGGCTTTCCGCACCAAACAGGTAAGACATCATCATTCGTGTTCCTTTTGCTTTAGTCCTAGTTACACTTCAGAACCTTCCCCTGACCACCAAGCAACCAAGGCAGGCTGAAGTTTCAGAGCAGTCTGACCAGATTTAGGCCATACCTACCTTTCTTTCTATATGAATAGAACTAATTTAATTAACTCTGAGGCAAATATAACTCTCAAAGACTAGTGCTCCTGAAAGCCAGTCAACCATGGCCGAATCTCCCATCTACAGCCAAATGTTTTGAACATTTTGAAACATTCAGCCTGCGCAGCCAAACAGTAGGCGACTTCACCGAACACGCGCAAACCTCTCACAAACCTTGTTTGTTTGTTCGCAGGCTCAGATCGAGGAGGAGATCGTGCGTCTTAAGGAGATCAAGCAGCGTCTGGAGGAGCACCAGACCCGGGGAGACGGCCGGCTGCCCAACTGGGTCAGCGAGAACGAGCTCATGCAGAGACTTCTGGTCGACGCCGAGAAACAGGTACTTATTCATCAATCCATCCGTTCGTCCACCCATCCATCCAACCATCCAATCTATCTAGATCTATCCAGATCTATGTAGATCAATCTATTCATCTATATCTGCCTATTTAGATCAATCTTTCTAGATGAATCTATCTATCTAGATCCATCCATCCATCCATCCAGTCTATCTAGATCAATCTATTCATCCATTCATCTATATCTGCCTTTCTAGATCAATCTACATGTATCTACATATATCTATCTAGATCTAACCATCCATCCATCCATCCTTCTATATCTGTTTGATCAATCTATCTATGTTTTACTGATGGGGTGCATATTTTTCCAGCTGGCCCGGAGAATGGGGGAGTGCGCAGAAGAGGAGAGGAAGAGACAAGACTTCTTAAAACGAGCCAATAAGGAGATGGCGCGCCTCCGCAAACAGAGCAGCAAGGACCAGCCTGAGAAGGCTTCCTTCAGGTATGTGCATTCATCATTAACTCCAAAAATCAGTTACCGGTATATTGTTAGATGGTGAGGAAATGGCAATTAACTACATATTTAGGACTGTAAGCACAGCCTTTTTACTATGACTGGCCCATTTTTACAGACATTAGTTAATCCATGGTGCCTGTAACTTCTCAATTTAGTAATGGAAAAGAGACCCTGATGTAGATTCAGTGATTGCTTCAACTGTGAAAGGCAGAATACATGTTTACTACTCAAACTTGCTATCCAGAGAAATACAGAATAAACATAGTGGTTCAGAAATGAGCCAAAGTCAAACATCTGCTTAGAGTTTTTAATGCCTTTTCAGTTAAAATGTATTTACTAAACTGTGACTAATGAAACTGCACATTTCTCTCACCAGGGAGAAGATGGCATTCTTCACATCAGTCAACATTAACGTGCCACTGCCAACCTTGCCGGCTGATGACGTTTGATTGACACACGCCAATCAATCAATCCAGATGTACATGTCAAAATTTGTGATAAACAGATTGGAAAGTCGGGTCTCGCCTCCCCCCTGCACAACAAATGGTACAGTCGCATACTCAACGTGTGGTTTTGCTTTCGGAGTGTACCATTGTGCAGGAGGGGAGGTGTCTCCCTCACACGGACTGACTAGTCAGGTTTGATTCTTGTAAAGCTGGGACAAAAATGAAGACCCAAATCGGCAGAGTTTCACACGATATGTGATATTCTGAGCTGACTGGTCAGTACCTTTCTTGTACAGTTTCCCTCACTAATCATTGTACATATATACAAGAGTATGTATACATAGCAGTAATTCTTAATGGTTTTTGTACCATACAGTCAATGATATCAGTTGGGATACCCTAGATAATGTATTATTCACATGCAGAGAAAAATTCCCCACTTAGATAGTAGGGAGACCCACCTGGTGATAGTGGTTGGCCCCGATATGGTCCAATCATCATGCCACAAATGACTGCCTTTGGGCCCAAGCATTTTTCTAGAGGGGTGTGACGGATATAATTCACCACAGGAGGAGAGAGACGAGTCTTGTTAAGTAGCTAGGCGATTTTTTTGTAAAGTGTTGTACGATTTTTTAGGCACCTTTCTCGGGTGTCCTGAAGGCAGTTGTAAGTACGTATGTAACTTGCTAGTAGTGTACATTTTTACCACTGGATGCTCTACAACTCCTTTGTGTTGTCCCATCCCCCCCATACCTCACAAACAATATTGCAGTTCCTGAAATATTGATAATATACAGTTTAGTGTTGAAGCCAGGAATCAGCAGATGTTGATGTTTTAAGATATTTGTAATGTGCCTCATGCGAATCTATGTACCTAGCTGAGTCAGAATTAAGTCTGGCGGTCCAGGATGTGTTTCATATCAAAGTGCTGTATCACTCCATTCATTTTGTATCCGCTTTTTGTACAGACGTGCCTATTTCTACTATAATTCCATATTTATTACATCATGTACAAACAACATAGTCCTCTGTGAGTGCTCATAACTGCCACCCCTGTCTTATTGGTACAATCCAGCTACCTTGTCTAACGTTTTTTTCAGCTGGATTAGTTTGGGGAGGGGAAGGTGGCCGTTGTGAACATAACACAAGAGGTACATGTAAATGCTGCGTTAGAACTTACAGTCTTTTTAATTCAAGATGCATGAAGGACATCCCAAGAGAACACATGTACGTATCCTGCTCTGTCCACCACAATGGAACAAAATTCATGCCTTCAATATTCAAAGAAAATAGTGTATAGGCCAGTATACTTTATTACCTGGGACCACCTCAATTGCCATTGCAGCAAGGACTACAGTGCCTTTCTATATCCAACTACCCTGACGTACGTTTAGATTTAAATTGTGTAAGTCTGTATTAACTGGAAATGGGTTTGCTATGAAATACTGTAGGAATTCCCATATGCACTGGTTCAATGAAAATGACTTTTCCTTGCCCCAATATTGGATATGATCATATTTGTCCATACTTAAGTAGGGAAATATTGTCACAAGCAATCCTTTATTATTACAGTTGTGTGATGATAAGTAGAGAAGATACAGTAGCTTGCATTCTCAATTGTAGCATACTTGATGTCGCAATGCCCAATTGTTACATTTAGATTGCAACATTGTGTCACAACCATGGCCTACTGCAGATTACCAAGTAGATGTTGGAAGGGAAGGTTTTAATGTTTTCTGGCAGCCCAACTTTTGTATTAGGAAAACAGGACAGCCAAAAAACACCACAATCTTCTCTCCCGACACCTGCTTGAAAATTACCCTTCTTACTCATGTTGTAAACCAGATCGTCTCCTATCACACATCTTGAGGTTTTCCCAGTTTTAAGTCTGTCGTTAAGACGCACCAGAAGTTGTAGGAATTGTTTGGCCATGCGAAGGTGTCCAGGTGGCCAGGACTCATGTACACTCCTCCCTACTGTATCCTAAATTAAAATATGACTTTTATATTTTGCATAACAACTGGTCTGAGTCGTCTCTTCTTTTTTTTTAAGTTTCCTGTGAATTTTGTGAGTGAAAATGTGATCCGGATAAGGACTGCTTTGTGCTTTCTTCCCTCCAAAACTATGTTTGTTAAATTTCTGCGCCATGCATATGCACTCATTATACAACTTGCATAATGATTACCTTTTCTAAAAATAATCATAATTTCTTGACACAAATGTACACCAAAAATTAGTTATCATCTGAACCAAACAATTGTGAATTAAATCGAAAGATAATATTAATAGTAGCTCCCATGCAAGTACAATGTATAACAATGTGTTAATGTATATCTATACTGTTGATGAAACAAACATAAATAATATACTATAATACATGTGTATAATATTATAGTAATAATGTAGCAGCAATACAGAACATAGCAGCAAGCTATGGTGTCCGTAACAAGTTAAATTCACAGCTACCACCAACCATAAAATAAAAGCAACATCATTGCAAAATACTATAGCAGTACATCCTCTATCCCATTAAAAAAAACAGAACTAAATTTGCAATGAAGCCTTGCAAAGCTCCTAATAGACATAGTCATTGAGACAAGAGTAAGGCACTGAACTGAAACTGCAGTATTGCTCCGTATATAACTTAACACACACGCTCCATGAAGCGCGAACCATTAACTGTCTTCTTGCCAAATATTCTGGCTTTGCCACCTGTAACTAGCCTGAGTGTCAGTCTTTTTAGCTTCCGTCCACTCCCCAGGATCCGCTACCGGTAGCAAATCGTGGGGAGCGGACGAAAGATAAAAAGGCTGACACTCAGGCTAACCTCTAACTTGACTGACATACATGTAACCTACTTAAGTTTCCATTTTGGAGACGCCTCCGGAACGTTATTTTACAGACATGGCGAAGAAGACGATGGTTGCCAGGGATGCCATGAGCCCTGGGATGAGCAGGGCCTTGGTCTGCACCAGCATGCCGAGTAGACGGGCAACTACAAGTGGGAAAACATTGAAATATTTCTCAGAAAGTTGGGAAAAAGTGTAGTTTTTGTATTTAATCAGAGTTGTCAGGTCTGCATGAAAAAAATACTACAATTGACAATTCTAATCGAAATGAAACATTAGCCTGGGTGCCATCCGATTTGTAACGGCAACCCCGAAAAAAAATTAAAGAAACAGCAAAAGCAATATGTTTGCGAAGATAACACAAATAGACCAAGAAAGCAAAATCTCACCGGTGGTGTTGCTCTTGTTTGACGGTTTCCACACTGCCCGTACAGGTTTCCCACCATGTATCTCTTGCTGCTTGCGCAGAAAACTGGCCCAGTCGGGGGGCTGTTGTGGCAGAAGAATCTGCATGTGGTTCCAGAACCTGTCGGTACAAGGACAAACGTTTCAGAAATCTCAGGCAATGCTGGTTCAGACTAATCAACCTGCTTATAGTGGGGTTGTGTGGCGTAATTGGTAGCGTGTTTGGCTCAGGACCAAGAGGTTGCGGGTTCGAATCCTACAATGCCCCCAATTATGTGTCCTGCCTTGAGAAAGGCAGTTTACACGACTTTCCTCACTCAGGTAGAAAATGAATACCTAGCCTTGGTTAGGGCCGTCCTTCAGATAGGACGTTAAATGAAGGTCCCGTGTTTGGGGAGAGCTACACCCCACGCACGTTAAAGAACCCACCGCACTAATAAAAGAGTAGGGGTCCTTGCTGGTATGAGTGGTTCAAACCTTACAGTTTAGTCTTACCCAGCTTGTACTTACATGAACAAAACTTGTGTGTCCTGCCTATAGGCAAATTTTACCTGCAGTCAATGCAGGACATTCTGCTACATTGCCACTGAATGCCACAGGAGGGCTATAATGAAACCTGTCCTTACTTGTAGTGGAATGTGTCCGGGTCCCGTGATATCCTGTTGTTAAATCCGATGTACAGGTCATCCCAAAACAGACCCTTCAGAACCGTTTGGCGGTGAACTCCTATCCGATTCTTGATCTAAGTGGAGAGTATACCGTAAATAAACAATTCACCCAACAAGTTTTGCAACTTAAAAAGATGCAGATCAACATTGACTTTATAATTTTTTGTGAAAACAAAGAACAAACCCGAAGTACAATCAGTAGGAATCTCTTTCGATCATAAGATAGTTAAAATCTTATTTGTGTTCATATATCCTATAAAAGACTAAATTGGCATGCGACTAGAATGCAGTAATTTATCGTATAGTTAATATTTCAATAATTTGTTTGAAAAAAAAATCGACAGACTAAGAGACTGAAGCAAATTCTTGCAGCTTCTTAGGGATAACAGGTGGTAGCTGTTAGATACAGGGCACAATCAGAAGTGACATAGAAACAGCACATTATACATGTAAGCCCCCCCTGAGCGTGAGAAGGATAAAATTCAGAGAGGTTGACGTGACATTACCTCCAAGTACGCATGCTCCCTGGTTGGTCGCTGTTGAGGGAAGCTGAGGTCTGAGAAATCCACCAGGAAGTCGTACCCTTCCTCGATGGGGTGGAAGTCGTCATCGGTCTCTATCATCTAACAGGGAACAAACAACAAAAAGGTAACATTTGTGAGGCATATGGTCTGCTCCGTTAATTCTTTCTCAAACACATACATATACTAGTATATGGCAACAGGAGTCTAAATCCCTTATGCTATAAAATTGCAACACGATGTAACCCAACACTAGTTACCATGGTGACAGACCGTCTGGTTCAGGTCATTGACCTTATTGGTTTGAAGAAGAAGAAGAGGGAATGTAGCAAAAACAACATATTTTCCTTCGGTAAACATAATAACAACTCGATACACACATGCACCCACATACACACTTTATTCATCACCCAATCAGCAAAAGATCGAGTATCCCATGCACTGGGCCATTTATTTATCTATCTATGTATTCATGGCTTGTACATTAACAGATATGAATGGCGTACTCACCCTCAGGACTAGGTTGTAGTTGCTGAATCCTGCCCACCTGTAGTACACCGGGATCCAGTCTGGGTAGGCAAAAATCTCACAGTCGATACTCTCGTTGATCTTGTCGATGTACGAGTCGAAATCCCAGTTGTCTTTGTAGATCTTAGTCGCCAGAGGAGGATCCACTATTGCAAGCCTTGGAACAGTTAGGAGAGTTGACATTTTGTCTTTTTTACAGGCTTTGTGAAACACTGAGCTGATGCTATTTTTGGCAAGTTATTAATTGCAATGTTCAATACTTTTAATTACTACTAGTAATATGTATTAATATGATTGGTGCCTTCTCCTGCACATAGTTTGTAAGTTACATGTATTTCTCTGTCCTTCTTCATGTTGTTTTGTGTGAAGATATAAAAGTAAAAGAAGTACCTGCGGTCCACAGTGTCGTCCAGAATGAGTGCCAGGTCCAGAGTGGCGCCAGGTTTGGGTGTCCAGGGGATGATGTGGTCAGAATACCTGTTGATTAGAGTGTTCAGCTGCTCCGCGCTGTTCTTCGTGTTGGTGTCACGGATGTACCTGGAACAGAGAGGAGAGATGAAGAAAAAGGAAAATCCATAGAAGCCAAGTTGACTGTCCCAGTCAGGTTTAGAATAGAATAGAATAGAATAGAATAGAATAGAATAGAATAGAATAGAATAGAATAGAATAGAATAGAATAGAATAGAATAGAATAGAATAGAATAGAATGGAATGGAATGGAATGGAATAGAATGGAATGGAATAGAATGGAATGGAATAGAAAATAGAATAGAAAATAGAATAGAAAATAGAATAGAAAATAGAATAGAAAATAGAATAGAAAATAGAATAGAATAGAATAGAATAGAATAGAATAGAATAGAATAGAATAGAATGGGTCACATATACTAGTAGGTCGTACATCCCTCTATTAATTCCAGAATCAATGAGAGAAGTGAACAGGAGCTACAATACAATGGAAATCAGGCTGCGACAGTAGCTAGGATATTAAAGATGACGGACTGTCCTGTCACGTGTGGATCAGCACACTCACTTGTCTGCTGGATGAGCTTCCACGAAGAAGCCTGCAAAAGGACAGTAGACCTTCGGGTTGACGTCACGCACCACTTGTGTCTTGTAGTACAGCAGCTTTTTCCGCTCCGTAGCAATGAACTTGGCTTTCCATTCATCTGCAAAAAGCATTGGCATAAAAAAACTATAAAAAGTGCTACATTCTAAAGATAGTAAGTTTTAAAGTTGCGGGTCCCATTTTCACTAGATATTGAGTGAGGAGGTGATCTTCAGCACTGGATTGCAGAACTGAGCCTTTCTCAGCACTGAACTTCCAGTGTTCACTCAGCTTTAGCACTGGAGACCCTCCTGTTAGCACTGGAAATAGAGAGGTACTGATTTAGCACTATACTTCCAGTCCTGTCCTCCATATACATTACAATTGCTTTGTACAGCTGAATTGTAACAAACAGAGTGTTGGTCACACATACATGTCCAAGTGGGCAGGTGTTCTTACTTGTGTATCGTCCTCCAGAGAACGCCATGGGGAACCCGGATGCACCCCCCGCGAAGTCGCTCATCATGATGTCCACATTCTTGGGCAGCCGCATGCCGTTGGGCTGGGTGCAGTCCACGGTGTTCAGGATCAGATGACCTGACAACACAGTTCAAACAATTTAATTCCTTTCCTTTCCTTACCTTCCTTTCTTCCATTGTTCCCTCCCTCTTTAATACTTTACTCCAACTCACTTCTTCATTTTCATTTACTAGTATCCGTTATCAGTCTAAGATCCAAGGATGTTCAAAAGATCACACTCAGGTCTGTGGCAGTTAGTTAACCTGTTGGGCATTGCAAGCAAAGAAAACAAAATGAAGAAAACAAATTAAAATGTTCTGCAGTCCTACCCTTGTAGTCCACCAGGATGCAGGTGTCCATGTCTGGATGTACTCCGTCCATCAGGATCATGAAACGCAGATCTGCATTGATCTGCAGTACAGCATCAATCAATCAATCAATCAGTTGGTCAGTCAGTCAGTCATTCAGTCAGTCATTCAGTATTTCTTCATTCAAGTAATTTGGAACAATTCTTTCCCTTGTAGTAGGGTAAATTTCGCACGTCATCGCCAGCTCATTTTGTCCGCATCTGTTGATGAACTTGATACCGTTTTCTTTGGATAGTAGCTGCTGGGTCTATTGGCTTGTACAGTGTACGTTAGATAATGGTAACTTGGATAGCAGGTCATATTATATAAAGAACAAGCAATCCTCACCTCCTGCCACACCCCGAAACTGCAGACGTTGATGCGGTTCAGCCTGACGCCGCTTTGCTGCAGCTTGCAGAACACCGGCATGGACGTGTCTCCAACGTAGATGGGGATGTCTGGGTTCTTTTCTGACAGAAGCGTCAGTGTGGGGTAGCTGGGAAGAACACAAAACTTACATGTAACGTCAGCTCTCATGATTCGGCTAGGTAACTTAAGACCACCGCATTAAAAATTGTGTTATCAAGGCATTCCTGAAGAATACCTTAAACATTTGGGTACCTCTAAGTAGTGATGCATACCTAAACCCAATTTTAGGTTCAGGTCCGGATTCAAGTCCAGAGGTTTAGGTTCAGTTCCGGACTTGTAAGTCTGGACCTAAACCCATGGCATATACAAAATTGCATGTTGGCAACCTCGCAATGTTGTCTGGGTGAAAATTTGGCTACATAACATGGAGGCTGGTACTTGACGATGCCCAATGGCAATGTTTTCTTCGTTTTCCAGCAAAGATTTTGCAATCTTCAGATGGTTTTAGGTGGTTTGGAAAGAAAAGGGATATGTGAAATGGTCTTTTATGGTAATAAGTCCGGACTCGGTTCTTGACTTTTAGGTTTTTTGGACTTGAACCTAAACATTCTTACAAGTCCGGATCCAAGTCCAGTGAACCGGTATGCATCACTACCTCTAAGGTAGCGTTAGGTATTGGCCATGAAAGTCTTCGTCAGAAATGTAAGGAAAGATTGTCTGAGAAGCGCATAGTACGTGAGCATACTGAAAGTGCAGAGAGAAAGAGAAGGAAAGGAAGTACCAAGCCACTTCTAACGGTTTGTCGCCGATCTCCATTCAGGTGAAATCTCCGAAAGTTCACCCAAGCATGAAAGGAGCGTCACAGAGCTGTGGAGGTTCAGAGTAAAACTTGCCGACATAGGAGAACAAACGTACAAGGACTTCTGCGAGTACAAACACACAAAAGTAATATTGAATACAAGTTAAAATATTCCACATACTAAGTTAGTTGATGTATGTGCAGTGCACAATGGTCAAACATTTCAAAATAACACCACACTTACCAAAACTTTAAAAGTAAACTACTTCGCAGGGCATCTGTTTGGAAAAGTGGCCGGAGCATTTAAGGATCTTTAGGCAACAGGCCAGAAGTCAAACACAAACCTGAGATGATCCGAGTGCACATGACTTATGTAAATGAGATCGGCACGTGACAGCCTGTCCAGCCAATCGGCAGGCGGTTCGTGGATGAGCCACCAGCCCCTGGCGAAGGCGGGTCCGGTCAGCCACGGGTCGAAGAACATCGTCTTGTCTCCCAGTTTCAGCTCCATACAGGCATGCGCGAAGAAGGTCAGCTAAGGAAAAGTACAATTATATAAAGGAATTTGAACAATGATTTTAGCTCCGCGACAACCTTCTATCTTCACATAGCTGGTGTGCTTTATACCGGATATACAGATACAGATACATTACAGCTTTTGGCGCCAGAACACACATACTATGTGGGATTTTGGAACCTCATAAACTCAGAAAAGGCAGAGGTCCTCTAAAATGAATATGAGGCGAAGGTGGTAGTTACAAGTATATGATGTTGGCTAGGTAGGCAAAAGCCTCCTGTATTTTAATAGCATCCTAGAAGTGGGGCATTTGGACGATAATGATTAAACATCATTACGATATGATGACCTCACAGTTCGAAAACCAAATGTTGAAAACTGAGAAATTACTGTGTTGTTTTCTTGGTTGAGGGCGGCTGTCTATAGCAACGTTAACAATGCAGCATGACAATTTGCATTAAATCACCTCACCAACTCAAAAGACCTCGCTGACAGGATCGCGTGATCGTACATAACAATCGGGTTATAGCAATCAAATTAGTGTCTGATAGCAATAAATCAGTCTGTGATAGCAATAAAATTAGTGTCTGATAGCAATAAATCAGCAATGAAATTAGTCTGGAGACCTGCACTTCACCCGGCTGGATAGCCTCCGGGGCTCTGGCGTCGACTTTCCACGGCTCAGGCGGGATCAGCTCCACCAAGGCCAGCGAGCCGTCCTCGTCTAACTCAGGAACTGGAACAACACGTACATGTCATTTGAGAACCGTAGGGAGGGTTCGCGAATAGTTTCATCACGTTGGGAAGACACCGAGTAAAGAGACTCTTTTTACACAACCAAGTCTTTTATTCAGCCGACGTTTCGGTGACCGCCTGTCATCTTCCTCAGGGCGATTCTGAGAACGCTGTACAATAAATTTTGAGAGCTGGCTACTTATTACGGAAGCCTCTCGATTACACTTTACGGTAAATTCAAAGTGGCTACAACGCATTACGTAGAACTAAAGGCGAATACGCTCTACGCAAAGTGCGCCAATTACGTACGCTCTACGTTGAATAGACCCATTCGACTTTCACGGACCGCATAAACTGCTTACGTAACAGGGGGGACATTTCGAAAGAACATCGTTCTAGAACGATGAAGTCGAACGCGGCTTGCGCTCGCGGTGTCCCCCCTGGCAAATTATTTTTTTACTAAAGTGTAGGTAGTGTCTTTTTTTCTCTGTAATATATGCGGAAAGGACAGGAAAACAGGCACCAACTTTGTATGGTGGAATTCCGTACAACAATTTAAGGTTATTTTGTTCTGTGACGTATGCAGTTTATGCAATCTGTGAAAGGAACTTTCGAAATGTCCCCCCTGTGACGTAGTTTCTATTCGAAATGTACCCCCTGTGACGTATGCAGTTTATGCGATCCGTGAAAGTCGAATGGGTCTATTAGAGCGATCCGACCGTCTATGCTCTACGTAGAATTAAAACGGCCGATTACGCTCTACGGAAAAACCCCATACTAGTGTAAACTCTTGCCATACCTAACCTCTCCTGGCTGAAGCTGTCCGGCGGGTTGACGTACTTCATAGTGGAGCAGTCCAGTTTCCAGCCGTGCTTGGTGCACCGCAGAACGCTGGGGATAGAAGATCCGGTACAGTTATGCCGAGGAGCTTCATTCAACAAGTGATAGAACGTCCTTGGTTACGCTAAGGTCACATTCCCCAACCGGCTTTTGGGAACGAAAAGTACGATATAAAAGACAACAAAACACAGAAAGGTTTTTGATAATGATCAAGGGCACTATTTCTGTACATTATTGATATATAGTAATTTTTCGTTCATACAAACAGCCCGGTCGGGCCCCGAAAATGTGACCTAAGCATGAACAAAAAATAAATAGTTCATATAAAGAATATACACAAAGCAGTTCATTTTATTCATCTTCCATTGGACCCTTGCAGAGCATAGACCATGAATGACCGTCCTACCAATGGGCACCTAACGTTATATTCAATTCAAAGCGGAACATAGCTAAGAATTCTGATGCTACACCCAAGAACAAACTATAGGTCCACACAGGACCGTGTGGGATCATACACTGTACAGTTTGTAATGAGTATAACGTGCACTCAAACCTGCCGGCAGGATCTTCAACATCTTGTACGAACTTGCCGCCCTGGTGCTTACAGACGTTGCGGCAGGCCTTAAACGGGTCGTCCCGTGGGTTCCTTGGATCCTGTATAAGGTGTGAACGCACGTTATCTATTTCAGCACCAAGGACAGCGCCTGGCATCCAATGCAGTTTTTTGGGGCTTGGAAACCCGATTTTTCAGAGCCAATATTCTAGTCACTTATCTACATACTGAATTAAAACCACACTATCCCAATGTATATTGACCCTCTTGGAGCAAAAATACCAAAAATTCTGACGGAAAATGATTACTGGAAGGGCCCTGGGCTGATTTTTAGGGTACCACCCAGAAAATAAAGGACTCATCTTAGGGCTTGTTTCTGCAGTTTTAAAAGTCCAAAGTATGAAATGCTGACTCAAATATGCCAATGTGAAGCAGTATGTGTCAATATCACAAACATTGCCTATTTGAGAATATTTCCCTGAAATCATATTGGATGCTTTTAACCCCATGTGGCCAAGTTTCTCCTATTCTCTCATCGACCAGAAGTCTGATGGAGACTTGGGAAATAATAACAGGTGGGCCACTGACTGAAACCTTACCAGCACTTTGTTTTACTTTGTCAGATAGTAACTTTGACAGGATAATGGGGAAAAGTAATTACGAAGAACATACGAGACGTGTTTTGGAGATATTATTGTGCATGATCTCAGTCTTCTCCTTTAAATATTCATGTTGCAGTCATGAAAGTTTTATATCAAGATCGTGCAACAAAAGCTATTAACAGTTTCACTTTCACTTTATTTATTTTGGCCTGTTTTCTGTTTCTGTTCGGTTTTGCAGTACTTGCACTGTTTTTTTTTTTTTTCAAGATGCAAGCATTTCTCGCCTCCTTCGAATACTTGTAGGACGGCGGCGTTATTACGTTTTTTTCCGGTGAGCGACGCACGCGAGTTATTCCGCGGAGGGACGATTTTGCTGTTTCTTTCCAATATCGTCCCTCCGCGGAATAACTCGCGTGCGTCGCTCACCGAAAAAAATAACGCCGCCGCCCTACAAGTATACGAAGGAGGCTAAAACATTCATCTGTGTTTGGATTCAACTGATTGACAGAAAAGGTGCGATTTTCTAGCTTCCTATCCAGCGCAGAATTTTCTAGTGGCCTGCGTTTGTTTTGATCATGTTTCTTTTACAGCCTAACTTACTTCCGAAAAGAAACGGTCGTCAGTCATTGAAACAAACGCAGGTCGCTACAAACGTCTGCGCTACGATATTCTAATCACCGATCAACACCTTTTTGGAAACAGGTTCTTGGTTTTTTGGAATCCCACATTGTGTTTCCGTTCAAGAGAAAAATATGTTGGAATACCAGGCATATTCGAGCGTTCGCTAGCTACTGCCACAACAGAACACTATCTCCGTGCCTGCAGACACATACTAAGCCTTTCCCAAGCTTCGGCAGGCGGCAGGAAAGAGTAGAAATCGGCCAAATAGAGAGATAGCATGCCAAGGGAGTTTGGTCGGCTGGAAAGAACAGTTTGCCGCAAACTATCTCTCTATTTGGCCGATTTCTACTCTTTCCAGCCGCCTCCAGAAGCCTGGTAGAGCTAGCAGCACACGCACCTTGTAGATGACAAAGTTGTCGGCCTCCCTGCAGATCAGGTTGACTCCCGGCCTCAGAGCGGTGGTTTCACCGGGAGTTAGCCGCAGAACTTCGACGCTCTGCTGTTCCATCTTCTTTCTGCACACTCAGCAGGTCCACGGAACGCGGAGTCAGCACAGAGCAGACTACTAAATGTCGTGCACGCAATGCAACAATGGTCTGTATGTACCCGCAAGACCCTACTAAATGTGTCATACATCATTTATTAATGATTCCTGTTGGCATATACCGCTATGTTACGATCCTATATTATTAACGGCATCTCTCGGGAACTGATATCCATTTTATGTAGCGAGCAATGGCATTTTCAAAGGTTCACCACAATTCATTCTCTCAGGTTCACTACAATTCATTCTGACAGGTTGACCACAATGATTCTTCACGTATATCTTTTTTCCAAAAGACTATCTAAAGCTGAATGGTACTAGAGCTTGGGACCGGCGTCAGAAAAACGAGGTCGAAGCCGGATCAAAGCAAATATCCGATCCGGATAATTTTACCCTAGTGGGAAAAGGGCCTTACTGTCTGAAGACTGCACCACGATATGGAGAGAACAGCTTCGGGAGTGAAGAAGCAAACCTTTCGATCTGTTTATATGACTAATAGTAACAGAATGATCTACGTGTCACTACATATGATACATGTAAAGTTACTATATGTATCGACCGGATTGTAGGCCCGGTCTGCACATCCAGACTTGTCTAGAAACTTGTGCGTTCCTCCAAAATCACAGAATATCACTTGAGAGTCCAGTTGAGACTTATTATCAGAAAAATCATAAGTGGTTTGCCCAGTCCTCCTGGGCTCCTCAACAATAACAATAACATACAGTATAGTAGCCTCTACCAGGCTTGAGGAGGCGGCTGGAAAGAGTAGAAATCGGCCAAAATAGAGAGATAAGCATGCCAAGGGAGTTTGGCCTTTGAGAGAACAGTTCGCCGCCCACACTCCTTTGGCATGCTTATCTCTATATTTTGGCCGATTTCTACTCTTTCCAGCCGCCTCCTCAAGCCTGGTAGAGGCTAACAGTATAGTACATTCGCCAAATATTTACACGCGACATTATTACCATACCACTACTACCGATACAGGTGTTACCGTCACGCCTTCTGATGACGTGTGACGGTACAAGACCCAGTAGTTATTTCAAACATGTGTGCACCACGTACACTGACAAGTCTTTATAATGGAAATAACTGCCTTGCCCACAAAAGTTGGAAGAAACTTTTGTCGGTAAATGTACTACCAAGTCATCATCATCATAACTTATCGATTTAGCTCTCCAGTCAGCCCGTGCTCTGCGTGCCATACTACCAAAAACTACACGTGACCACTACACTACGTAGTGTTTGAGTTGGGATGTGGGAGTTGGCAAAACTTTACAGGCTCGATAAATCTTCAGCAAGAATTTAATTATCAAGTGACTCGCAGTATAAACATGCCTAGGATATCTGTTTATTTATGAAGTATTTACCAAACACGCGAAGCAGTTTTGACAACAAGAGTGAAGTAGCGCACTTTGCTTACCGTAGGTCCACCAAGACTGCTTATGACTGCTAAATGATACTTAGATGATACTCTGATGATATAACGATCATATATCTATTACGATCATTATGATCATTACGATCACTCTGATGTACGCATTTAGCCCCATGGTCATGAACATGCAATTAAGATTCATTCGATAATCTCAAGCAGATCCTAGGGTGGCAAAATAACAGTATCAAATTGGCCAGGCAGTATCCATTGGCCAGAGAGGGTCCATGCGTTTGTGGGGGTAGCGACAAAAAGGGTCATATATAAAAAGCTAAAGATCTTCCCCTATCAACTTTTGCTTCCCCTATCAACTTCTGATTCCCCTATCAACTTCTGATTCCCCTATCAACTTCTGATTTCCCTATCAACTTCTGCTGAATGACTCCTGTGAGTCACACCCACCTACCCCTAATTTTATTGGCAGAGATGAAACAACAGTTCATTCCACTCGAACGATTTCGGTGCAGGGGCAAGTACAGCCCCAAGCGTCGTCTTATTTTAGCCTCTACCATGCACTTCCAGGCTTCAGAAGCGGCTGAAATGAACGGCAAACTTTTCTTCTTTAGTTTACCAACTCCTCTGACACGTTATTTGTCAATTTGGCCAATTTTTACTCTTTCCAGTTAACCTGTTAGAACATTCGGGACCGAGAAAAAGCGGTCATTGCAGCCAGATGGCCGCACTAGCTATAACGTTAGTATAGGCGGCGCTATGGTTAGGTTCATTTGAGGTATGAGGTTATTGAGGTTTCTAAACCAGGTTCATCGAATATTGCCAACATATACTTAATCTACAGATACGTTATTAGAGCTTGAACTACATGATGAAAGAGTAGAGTATGCTACATGAAGGTCAGTGAAAATGTCACAGAACTAACAGGTCAACCTATATAGCCTGAGTAAACCACGCTCCTAGCGGCAGCCGAGAGGTTGTGTAACACAGGCTAGGTCAACTACTAAGAGTTAATTTCTCTTCTAACAATTATCATGGCAGGCTGTCACTATCAGAATAGCCAAGGCTATGATAAGTTTAAGATCTCAATTAAGTTCGAAGTCGCACTGTGAGAATTCGCCTACCTCGGACGAAGATGTCGATGTCTAGGTGCGGTTTCAGGCCAGAGACATGTCCGGGTCGGAATGAGAAAATGATGGGCAACAGGCAAACCAAGGTTTCTCGTGGCATTTCTTACCGTCACCAAGCCGTGTCCACACCAGAAACAAACACCATACCTGTTACTAAATATCCCTACAGTTGAATGATCCAGCTGACCCAGTTTTCGTTCGTAAAAGGATTTTTGGTAACATTTTAACCATTTGGCTTCCATTATGTTTAGATACAGTCTAGGACTGAAAGGTTTGATCTTTGACTTCCTTTGTTGTTATTTACAAGCCATTGATTGGTGCAAGGATTGATGTAAAGAGTGTAAATAATTAACTTAGTGACAATGCTATGAAGCAAAACTTACCGTAACGTTACGTGGAAACTGGCACAGCCCTGGATGTCGTAAGGTCAAACTCGTAATCCAGAAAACGCGGGAAAATCCAGGATAGCTTCTATTACGTCAAGTATCCTGAATGAAAGTAGGGCTAGAATCGGGATTCAGAATAAACAGCCAAGAATCAAGCGTCCAAACTAACGGATTTTCAAGTAGGCCACAAAGGCATAAACGAAGCTCGACTCCAAGTTTGACGAAAAGATTTCCGCGACAATCGGGCGTCCAAATATGCAGTGGCCAATTCGCCTCAGTCCTGACTTAAAACTAGTTCAGAACGCTTTGAAGTGACAAGACAATAGAAAAATGAGATATCTAGGTCGCAACGAGATATCTAAACCACTCACTAACGTTTATCCCAGCATCACGCCACGGGTTTGATCACAATGTGGCAATTGCGCGTGTAGGAAAGGAGATACTCCATAAACATCACGTGTGTCACCTCCAAGCAGATCCCTTCCGGAGGCAAAAAGACAGTATCAAATTGGCCCGACAGTATCCATTAGCCAGAGATACCTTTCGGTGGCAAAAAGACAGTATCAAATTGGCCAGGCAGTATCCATTAGCCAGAGAAGGTCGCCGGCCACCGACGGTAGGGTTAGCGACAAAAAAAAACCCGCCATACTAGTATATAAAAAGGTAACGATCATTCCTCCACAACCTCTGCTTGGAGAGTACACGTGTGCACGTTGGCAGTTCGGTTGCTGTAGTGTAGTAGTGTATGCCTCTATCCAAAACGTACATAGACAATCGAATCGGATCATGACGAAAGCTTAAGCACAATCAGCGTTTATTGTTTTTTTACTGACAAATGTTAGTCAAAGTAGATGGGCCAAAGATTGACAAAGACAAACTGGAAAGGGTACAGAACCAAGCCGCAAGATTCTGCACGAACAACTACGAAATGTCATAAGCCATAAGATATGTCATAAGATATGTCATAAGACTTAACGTTACAACTTACGAGAAAAAAAAAATTAATGCTCAGTTAAAACAAATGCAGTTAAGGCACACTTTAGAAGAGAGAACCCTATCTTTCACAACCGTGAAGAAGAGGAAGATAAGGAGAATCCAAAACAAACAGATAGAGAAACTGATAACACAAGTATTGAAGTATGATCTTAAGTTACAGGATGAGGTGGTGCGACAGATAAGGTTCCAAAGAGTTCACCGTATAGGATAGGTGGGAGCTCACGCCCCAGACCAATCGTTGCCAAATTTGTGTGGTACACTGAGACAGAGAGAGGGTGAGACAAGCTAGCAGCTAAGAACCGTAAGAGGGTCTCAAATAGGTATTTCTGAAGACTTTCCCAAGCAAATTCGGGATGTCCGAAGGAGACTCCTACTTGTGTTGAGAGAAGCAAGGAAGGCTCATCCCCCGAAGTTTGCAGTACTCAAAGTCGACCAACTGTACATTGACGGTGATCTCTATAATCCAAGAGCTATCGTAGCGAGTTGCCAGTTGGGGCATCATCACTAGAAAGGTTCAAAGAACTTCTGTAATTAATATAAATGTTCACAAAGATTGTGTGTGATATGGCTAGCTGCCGCCGCGCCGCGTGCCTGGCATGGTGTGTTACGCCGAAGGGCGGTTATACCGGCTATACCGATACAGATAACTTACAGTTAAAGATGCATATTCACCAAAGTACGGGGGAAAAACTTCCCCGTACAACGAAAAAAGGTCGTCGTTTATATGGCCCATTCAAGAGCCTCGGGGTTTTTCACAGTTACATATCTGACTGCAGTCTTCCTTCACTTACGTATACTGGACTCCTTCGCAGGACAACTGCAGCGACATCTAACGAGATGTGTTGATACTGCATGCTTGCTGCTGAGCTCTTGGACTAGCTTCCAGTGTGGGCGTTTAGAATGGCCGAAGTTTTTTTTAGGCTTTTGGGCCGCTTTGTGCTGTTTTCAGATCGCATATCAGCCAAAATTGCAACGCAAAGTCAGCAACCATCCAGAATATCTGCACAGGAGATGCCTCCGACCAGATCATTTTAAATATGGCGGTGTCAACACACGTGGAAGAATCTATCTTTCCTACAGGGGGAGTTTTTTTTTCATTTTGCGCACAAATAATGAAGTTAAACTTTAAAAAAACACACCTATTTTCTAAAAGAATAAACAAAATATGACATATATAAATATTTTTAAACATCAGACTGTCCCAATTAGTTAAGTGCTTTTTTTTTTAATGTTTAAAATCTGTAGGTACACGTATGATTATGGTATATACTCTTTCTCGTTCCCAATATCATGGAGTTAAACTATTTAATATTGTTCATTTCCCTTTCAGCAGGTATCACACTTTCACCTTTTGGTGCATTTTCTACATCATAAAAATACCTATTTGACAATATATTCGAGTTTATGACCTAATTTAACGTAGTTTGATACAGTCAATCCTGGGCTCAAGATCGTTGCATATAAAACAGGTCATTGACCTCAATTTCTATGCCGTTGTCAACAACAACCAAAATGGCCGCCGTGTGATGTTGCTGGCAAGCTAGGCACGTTCGAAGACACATTTTGGGTCTCTTAATCGGAACTAAAAGCGTCTTCTTTCAAGTAATCAGGTAAGAAATCTTAGAAACCAACAATTCTTCCAGTTGGTATCGGTTGATGGTGTATTAGAATGCGCTCAACACATTTCTGAGACCTGCCTTTTGTAACAAAATTATCCGTATGTGCGTCATACAAGGTCTAAATAAAAGTAACCCTTAAATATATAACTGCAACTTTGTCGTGAATATAGTACCTCAGTGTGCTTTGCATGTGTCTCTTTTCTTCTTTCAATTTGAGGCAGCCCAACTAGCTGAAAATTATGCAGCATTTTTTGTGGTTCGCCAGGCCTCCATCCAGAAAAGTCATGTAAAGTGCCTCTCCCAAGAGCACAAGATTGGTGACATGGCAGGGTTCGAACCGGGGACCTCTTAGTTCCGAGCCGAACGCTCTGCCGCATGCCGCTACGCCACACGACCCCACTGTGTTCACTAGAGTTCACCCGTGTGCCTGTTTCCACATACAGGGAGCTGTACACTAGTGTAGAGGGACCACCGACATGTCCACCACACCAAGGTCGCCCAGGAAGGGAGCCATCACGGCGGAGGCTTCCATCGACAATGAGAACGATGTCGGACCGCCCATCGACTTCTCCTTCAAGATGCTGTGCAGTATGGATGGTATGGCCGACACCAGCTACATGCAGCAAAACTAAGTGTCGTCATACAACCTGTTATGCCATATGTACTCTGTTTTATTTCATGCTACAGTACAGGGACTGTCAGACATTGCAGATAAGGCACATGTATGATGTGAAGTGAAGAAAGTTTTGTTAGTGCCTTTCCCAACACAAGGGAAAGGGCACAAGGTTGCCGACATGGCAGGATTCGAACCCGGGACCTCTTGGTTCTGAGCTGAATGCTCTTTCATTACGCCACACGACCCCATGTAATGTCTTGACCCAAAGAGATCAGCTTGAAAATTAGCTAAAAAAGCCATTTGGTTTGCATTGCATTGTGTATAGCATTAGGCAGCAGTTAAAAACATGTATTTTCTGGCAATAATATACAGTACTTGTCAATCTTTACTTAAACAGTCGTACGATTTCTGCATGTCCTCAAAGTTGACTGAACCCCAAACTTTTCAGACGCAACAGAAGACGAGATGAGACAAGGGTCGAGGAAACACAAATATGACGAGGAGGGAAAGATAAATTCCAATGCCCTGCGCATGAACAACAACGCCCTGACGACGCTGGATGGCCTTCCTGGAGCGATAACCCGACTCTTCATCAACCCAGAGGCCCTGGCATGGGTGGACCTGTCATTCAACGACTTAACCACTGTCGACCCGGTAAGTCCAACTTCTACATTTAACATATAATTAGACTTCAACTGATCTCCAACTCTCAACCGGAATCTCTCCTACTCAGACTTTGTAAGCTATTTGACCCAGATTTTTCTGCACTTTTAGGAGAACAGTCTATGGTAATTCTCATTGTGCAACTTACCAACTTAGATGAAAGTTCTGTACCAGTGGGGTTCAGGCGCCGCTAACTGATCCATTCCAAAGGGACCGGACCTTTTGGAGTAGTGGTTAGCGATGCTTGAACCAAACTTTTACACTGAGGATCAGTTAGTGGCACTTGAACCCCACTGTTACAATTTTATGCTTCTGTATTTAACTTTTAACCATTTCTGGGGGCCCCTTGCAAGAAAAATATTGGTCAACATTTTCACAAGAAGCGGATTTTGTAGGAAAGCTACCTTCGTCATGATTACCAGGGGTACCACGGGGATAAGTGTGTTAGCGAAAAGACGTAACAATGTTATTGTTTGTGAGAAAGCCATGGTTGTACAGAACTCAATTTGCTACGCTGATGTGCACACACACAGGTCCTGCTGGGCTACGGCAACATCAAGGTGTTGTATCTCCATGGCAACAGCATCGAGAACATCGTAGAGGTGGACAAACTGCCGGCCCTGCCCGTGCTGAAGAACCTGACGCTCCATGGGAACCCCATCGATCAGGAGCCGGGCTACAAGCACTACATCCTGTCCCTCATGCCTCACCTGGCCTCACTCGACTTCACCAGCGTCTCCAAGGCAGACCGGGCGACCGCCAAGACATGGATCCACATGTACGGCAAGACCATGAAGTCCAAGAAGAAGAAGAAGAAAAAGGCAGCCTAAACGTCAGAAAGCTTGTAAAGATGCGCTCGTGAATGTTATGACTGGTACTGAGTTTTCTGCACTGTCACTGCAGTTTTTGAGCCAAGACTTTTGTAAATATCCTACAAAAAATAATCCAATGTGTTGATGAATGTTAGAGTTACATCAAACATGTTCCAAATTTTCTATGCATGATCTGACATTTGATCACTACTAGGTCTAGTTTTGCAGCTGTAGTAGCACATCTCACATCTTATATATCCTCTTTGATTACCAGGTTTGGGTAATTTAACTTCCAACAGGATTACAAATCTAGGAAGCAAGGTAAAATGAAACTGAAAGTATGGATGTCTACAATGAAATCTTTTATCATTTATGTATGTAAATTTGACATGTAGTATACTTCAATTGTTTTGTTCCAACTTTGCAATACATTGTACTTGTAGTTTATTTTGCTTCTAGCTGCTTAACATATGCTGCATTTTCTTTGATAAGTGAACCACAACCTAGAAGTGTTTAGCAGTGACTTGTATAAAACCCATGCACTGAACCACTTTTGTGTTTTTGCCTTTGAAGCCTTCCTGGTACGAACAACACCGTCAAATGTTAGAATAGAAATTCAAGTGCCTCACAACTTAACTACGGTACCGTGTCTAGAACTCTAATAGATTTTTTATCCAATGCAGGAAGAGAAGTTGTACATAGATTATAGTTTTCTCGGTGACGTTCCCAATGTGTTGGTTGAGCAGTTGCTGTGTTGAGAAATACTGGTATAATTACATGTACAACCAAGCTAACTTTAACAGATGCACTATAGTTCCAGGGTGATTGGTTTAACAAAGTATTTTTGTATACCTACATAAAAATGGAAAATAGATACGTTAACCCAAAAATAAAACTGTGCCTTATGTCTTACAGAAGTTTTGATTTTATTTTGCTATATACCTTCAAAAGTAGCTCTGACCAGTAGTGGCAAAATAACTGTGGGCAGTGTGCTAAGAAGAGCATCATCTTACAAAAGCTGAGAAATGTCCCCACTTTCGATAATTACATTGTGACCTTTGTTTCATTTTAAAGCCAGAAAAAATTGTAGTAGCAAGTGGAGAGATTATCAAGAATTGCAGTCTTATCTGTAAGAAAAATTGGGAAAAACTGAGAATTTCAGTTACATTTCAGCTACAATGCTACCCTTCTAAAGGCTTGAATGTTGATGTAAGAATTCTAAATTCAATGCTCTCCCTGAAAAAATTAGACTAATGAGCACATGTCTTGCCTAGCTAATTCATAAGCATTAGCCAATAAGAGTATAGCTTTCAAGCAAGCACAGTTAAATACAAACTAGCTTTGGAAGGCATATAATATATATTTATATATACAGCATATGTATATAGTCAAACTCTGACTTGTGTTTTAACCACTACAGAAAATTATTCTCATATTATTTGATGGCAACTAAGAACATCAAGAGCCAGTGATAAGTTAGAGTGGGGAGGGCTGGTACATGATATGACAGCAAAATATCTGAAACAACATTTTTTATGAATCAATCTTTGGGGGAAAACAAGAAATTACATAGATTTTGCCTCATCAACAAAGACTCTAACACATACTTACACAAAAAATCTTCATTCCCTTTTGTCAAACAACCATCTTACTACATGTGCATTACTGAGAGCTGTACTTGTTTTAGGACAATATTCACATTGCTCCTGCTTTTTTCACGCCAAAGTCCACTGTTGATAGCAAATTTACAGTTTGAAAAGCCTCTATGATCCAAATAGCTATCAGGTCATCCTCCCAAGCCTCAACATTGTCACAAAATATTCTTGCCTTGCATTGAAAGTAACGTACGTGGAGGGAGGCACTTTCTAATGCCTCCAATCCTTGATACCCCCCGATTTAAGAATTTCCAACCGTTGTAAGAAAGTTGATTTCTTGGAATGTGGCAATGGTTCATGCTTATTTACACATCACTCGTTAAAAAATTGTCATGCTTTTACATGTATTTCCACTCAAACCTTTCTGTACATGTAACGTTGCTTTCCAAGTGACCTCCAAGCTTAAGTAATAATCTTTAACCCTCTACCTGCTTGGTGCATGGACTTGGTAAGTTAATGGCACGATGGCAAGTCAGCAAGGGGAGGGTTAACTTGGTGAACACGTGTACAAAAGTTTTCACAGACAACAATATCAAACCGAAAACAGTTCATAGCAAAGGTTGCAGGTTGTAAGCAGATGTAAGGTGCCTATTATGAACTGTATGGAGACGTGTTTTCATGAACCAATGCCTGATATGATGGACGGGAAGAATATTATGGGATTCCAAATGGCACGACCAGGTCTTCTTTATGCTCCACCCTGACTTGTGAGACGGCGCTGGCAGCGTACGCAGCAGCTTTGTTCATCTGGAAAAACACATTCAGTTATTATTATACTGTATAATTATACTGTATAAAAATAATTAATGTGTAAATATACATACAATGTTCACTGAAAACACTTTCCCCTTATATTTCATGCAAACAAGTTGTCAAGGTACATGTATTTCTTGGAAAGTGATTGAATACCAGTACCAATTGTGTACTAGTAGTAGTATCTAGTCTTTGTACTTCAACCAGTATTTGTTCTTGAATATAATTTATAAATAGGGCTATGTACCAGAAAATTTCGCCGTAATCGGGTACAGGTCACCCAGTTTTAGGTACAGGTCCAGTCCACTTCAATTACATGTATTTTGTTCTTTTTACAGTTACTGAACCATTGGATCCAGACTTGTTCCTAAACAATTTTACATGTGCAGCTAGGTACACAGCCTTAACCCTTGTCCTGCTGGCAATTTTTACATAATATTTTCAAATAATTTCATGTCTTAATCAGGTCACAGACCCTTGACTTTTTTTGGCCCGCGGTGGCGTAGTTACTTCCGCATTCGTTGCGTTTCACTGCGGTGTGATGCGTTGCACGAGAAACACCCCCAAATCGTACATATACAGGGCACTATATAGATGGTACTGTATGTGCAACCCATATATATATGGGCTCCGCAGGACAAGGGTTAATACATATAGACATAGAAACAGACATAGACAACCAATTATACTGACCAACTGTACATCAGCTTGTGAGATGGGGTCTGAAGCCAGCACGGCCTGGGGGGTGGCTGTACATTGTGGCAGGGGGGTCTTCTTCTTCAACCTCCCCCCTGAACTACCAGTCACTATTGCTATCCTCGTGCTGCAGGGGAACAAACAAGGATTCAAACATATCTGTTGACACATCACCATGCTCAAATCATCTCTCTTTTACCTCCATGCTCAAATGAATAAACAATGGGAAAGGATGCAAAGGAAAGTAAGGGTAAAATGGTGTGGTAGGCTCACTGAAAGAAAGCTACTGGAACAATGGATTCCAAGAAATGTACATTTGATAACCATTAATACAACATGAATAATGAAAACATCCTTTGCATAGAGACAAGTTGCATAATTTTTATAGAATCCCCTAAAGTCATAAAGTTCTACAGAAATATACAAGTTTAATCATACTAGTAACCTCCCGTTACAACCAACTCCAGTGAAACTTGAAGTCTTACTGGCAATTCACTCAACTATGCATATACATATCTGGCTACAATATACGCCTGTGTCTAACCTGTACTGTCGTGCCCTGTCCATGTATTCGTGCTGCTCCATACTGTGGTGGTCGATCGCCGACACATCTATAACATTACTGTAGGGAAAACAGCAGCATTAGTCCACTTATGGGACAGTAATGGATTAACAGGCCTGGGGGACTAAAGTGGCTCTCACATGCCTAGACAACTGTGTGAATGTGTTTATGTGAAAGAGGTGGCCAACACTAGCCAATGGTTATACAGGAAATATCATAAGACAAAGACGACACACACGCATGCACGCGCGTGCACACACACACACACACACACACACATTACCTGATGTATAACTGAACATACATTTTGACAATTCAGACATGATGTAATTTCACTAGAATGTATATTTTCAAATTTGCAATAAGACCTACAGTATCAATATTACTTTCAGTACAATGATACTGCATCATATCTACTGTGAGAAATCAGGTTCAGTATGTACATACCAAGGCATCTCCAGGGTGTCTGTAGGTGTTTGAGAAAGTGGAGATTTGATAGAGTGTAGACTTACTTTGCCGTCTGATGTAAGATTCTGTTCAGTGCTGACTGTTCGTCTCCCTTGGGACCGGGTGGTGTGTGGTTTGGGAAGTCATCACTGGGGAGGTAACAAGGAATATAGCATCTTTTTCTAATGCTCATTTTTCCTGACAAGTATCACTAATGATTCTCTTCCTCTCTTCTTTTGACATCCTCAACTGAGGCAAAGCACAACGCTTTATTTTCCCATATTCTTACACTGCCCCCTCCCATCCTTTCCAGCAGTACAGCCCCAGAGTCCAAAGTACCCCACAGGTCAACAGGTGTCGTGTGCTGAGGTTATGTCAGGTCAAAACCACCAGGCTGACTGATAACTCCTCATCATGGGGAGTGGGAGGTATTTAAGGCGTGCAGCTAAGTATTGTCCTGGTTAGGGCGTGCAGCAAAGTACTACGTGTATTGTCTTTTTTCAATTATCACTCTGTAGTAGTTCGTCATTCCAAGTTGACCAGTACATATTTGGTACACCTACATTAACGTTAGAGTGCAATAGACAAGTCACAGTTAGATAAAATACACTGGAAAGGTTTGCCTTTATATATTACAGGTATCATAATATCCCAACTGTTGAACATCCAAATGCTAATGCAGGAAAAGTATACTTGTCATTGACCAGAATGAATCCCCAGTAGAATTCTGCAGTTGTTACCTAGATATGGGTCTGTTTGGTGTGTTGCTGGCTGGGTTGTGGAGGAGATGTGTTCTCTCATTGGGCTCCTTATTCTGTAACAAACCAAAACATGATGTCAGTATTGCATCATATAAACACAAGAAAACATAACAACTTGGAATCGCATCATGATGTGAAGTTACAGAAATAGACCTTTTTTGACATTCATTTGAGGCTTCCAATTAATTATGGATCCCCCCAGCGTTTTTTTTCCTAGGAATTATGATGATCTACAATGAGGGGCAGAATAATATTTTTGGTTACACAACAAGCAGTAGTATATGTAGTCTAGTAATATTTATTATAGGGCCCTGGTAAAGTGGTATGTTTTAAGAAATATAATCAAATTAAATCTGTTAGTGGAGAGATGTTCCCAAGATTGTGTGAAAGTGTCCTTCGCACCAGGAAATACCTGCAGGGGTACACGACTGGTCTAAACGTCAAAAGTGCAAAGGGTAAAGAGTGCACAACTCAAAAGAACTTTGGTAGGTGTGGGAGGGGGGCAGAGACTAGGAGGCGGGGATGTGGCTTATCGGACGATTACAGATCTTACTAGTAACATTTAGCAGACACCTGTGTTTTTGTGGAAATGTTGTTGCCCTGTCGAGTGCTTTCAAAAGCCCAAAATTGGGGCAGCGTCCACCCTCGAGTACTTTGAATGGCGACAAGCCAAGATCAAGAGCGACTACGAAATGTGAGTGCTCCAAAATAGCGTTTCTGAACGTCGCTCGTCCTCCTCTCTTCGAGCGAAAAAGGCTAAAAAATCGTAGCATCTCTCTATAACATCTAGGGATCAGAATACGCCCACAAATTAGCCGAACTTACAGGTGAAAGTTCGTCCTCTTCGTTGCTGAAGCAGCACCCCATGTTGAAACTTCTTCGACTGCTGGGGTCACATGAGGAGTGTCCCATGATTCCACGTTCATTTTAAAGCGCCGCCTGGCGACTATAGATTACAATAGCAGTGTCATGTCTTTTTTTCAATCAGTAACGTCGCTGCAACCTGGAAACATACGAGCTGTAATAGTGGAAAAGAAAGGCTAAGACTGGTCGTATTTTACGCCTTTCTAGTCATTTTGATGTGAGCGATAAACGTTTTGAAGAGTTTGAAGGGTTTGAAGAACACACGCGTGTCAAGAGCGACATCTATCGATATCAAGCAGAACTGCAGGACTTCATCAGGAAATTATCTTGCGAAAATGGCGGCGGAGGAAACCAACACGGATATCACGACCGAACCAAATCCACGATGCTTCTTTGATGTGACCATTGGCGAACAAAAAGGTTGGTGCATGTTTGACGATTAAACCGGGATGGTTTTTACAAAATATGGGACCTTGTGAGTTTGTTGATATGGGGAATAACAAGCACGTGGTTTCGTTTTTGTAGCACGCCATGTTAGGGAGGGGGGGCGTAAAATTAAATAGACAGTAATCTTCTGTGTACATAATAACGAATACAGCAGATACCTTCTTTGAGCTTTGATAGACTGTGATTGGAAATTTGCATATTACGCTTGCCAACTCTGTTTTGGCTAGAAGTCTGTTCGACAGGTTGCCCACCCAAACAAAGGACAATGCAAATTACAGTTACAGTATAATGGCACCAAGAGTTAAATATCTAGAGAGACTTTTTGACTCTGAACTGAACCATGCGAAAACATGTACCAAGAGGCAAGAGACCACGTCTAGCAAAATATTACACATTAAGCAAGGACAACTACAACAACAACTCATTGCATGGTACATTAAATATACAAATAAGAGTGTGCACATTCAGTGTCAAAGATGAACTACTAACTTGAACTGGGTGTTCTAACGTTATCATACTTTTCTCCTTCAATCAACACAGTTGGCCGCATCATCTTTGAGCTGTTTAAGAACACGGTTCCCAAGACATGTGAGAACTTCCGAGCCCTGTGCACGGGAGAGAAGGGAGAGGGGCCCACCACTGGGAAGCCACTTCACTACAAGGGATGTCCTTTCCACAGGAGTAAGTAATGGTTTAAGTCATATCATCTGATGAAAGCCCAACCACAAATTCAAACTTTAAAAATTATAGTACAATATATTAATTATCCTCCTTGATTCTAGCTATCCTCCTTGATTCTAGCGTATATGTTTTATTAGTAGGTACACATAGTTCCTGTCTCCCTCTTAGAGTCACAATGTATTTAGACATTGCAATCACTGGCACCATCACTTCAGATGATCCTCTGTCATAGAAACAGGTGCTTGTAAGCTATACGATTTTAAAACTCTCTCCCAGCAATGATTTTTTCACATTTAAGATGCTTGGATAGAACTTGACATGGCTCTGATTTCTCTTGGCAGTCATCAAAGACTTCATGATCCAGGGCGGTGACTTCTCCAACATGAATGGTACTGGTGGGGAGAGCATCTACGGGGAGAAGTTTGAGGATGAAGGCTTCGATATGAAGGTATTAAAGGTGTTCTCTCGACAAGACACTGATGCTTTGTGTATAACATGCCATAGAGAACTATAGCCACTATTTTGGTGAAGCTCTAAAATTGTATTAGAGCCATTACTCGTTAAACATTTAAAATAGAATTAGGAAGATGAAGGATTTGCCCTCAGTACCTTGGTTTTCTCCATGACAAGAAAGCCTGCCTTTAGCCTGCCCCTGGCTCTTGTTAAACAAGTGGTCGTGAATAAAGAACAATATTATATAGTCACTCACCAACCTGATGAAATTATTCACAGGTAACCAGAATAATGAAGATGATTTGTTTTTTGTTTGTTTGTTTTGCATAACCGGCAAACTGCCTTCAGGTGTAACACACCAGTTTTGTACATGTAAGTACAGGCTGCATAAGACAGGACTGTAAGGTTTGAACCAAAATCACACCAGGAAGGACTGCCACTCTTTTCGATCAGTGTTAATAACTTACCAAAGGAGTTGGACAGACAAGTGACTTGTAGTAAGTTGTACATGTAACTACCAACACAGATGAACTTTCCTATTGATAGATATGTGACTTGTACATATCACCCCCCAGCATGAGGTCCCAGGGCTGCTGTCCATGGCCAATTCTGGCCCAAACACCAACGGCTCACAGTTCTTCATCACGACAGTACCCACGCCACACCTGGACAACAAACACGTGGTGTTCGGGCGCGTGCTGAAGGGCATGGGCGTGGTGAGGGAGCTGGAGAACGTTGACAAGGACGGCGAGACACCCGTACAGGTCTGTTTGTTTGTTTGTTTGTTTCTCATAACCGGTAAACCACCCTAACACACAAGTTTTGTACAGTTCTTTTAATGTCCTATCCAAGGGACGTCCCTAACCCAAGCTGCAGTTATTGCCAGTTCCTCAGATGTTGGGAGACCTCCTCCCTGAACTTAGCAGGTTCTGGTATTTGGGTAGTAGAGTACATGTATGGCAGTGAGTTCCAATCTGAAACTGTTCTTGGGAAGTATAGGGGCACTGTCGGATAAATCAGAAATTGGAAAAACTCATATACCCAGACACAGCCTTGCAAGTATGGTAAATTGTCTCCAATTGCAGGCCTCAAGGTGGCACCACCATATCAGGTTGGTGCAGGTAAAATTGAAGCTGTGCAAATACTTTTACCTATCTACCTAACCATGGGCGATAGGCCACCGAGTTTTTGTTGAGATCGCTGTTGCTTTGTTTTATGAACACTCGTATACTGTGCACTCCGTACAAGCTTAAGATTCCCGATAATCATACACTGAACACAAACACTATGAACACGGTCCGTTGAAAGGATCCGAAGAGTCATGAACTCAACACATAACACCGTGAACACTGTCCGTCGAAAGATTCCCGAGAATCATACACTCATCGCATAACACCGTGAACACGGTCCGTTGAAAAATTTCCCTGGAATTCTCTGTACAATGAACCATACATATATAATACATACTGCTGGGTACTTGGTCCGCTGAATCATACAATAAAAAGCACACTCATTACTCAGCTGTTACATTGGCGTTCAGGGTAGCGCAAAGGCCGACGGGAATAGAACAGGTTTCGCAAACTCGAATGCGTTCGCAAAACCGCTGCTCGACTCGATAGAACCCCAAGCCGGGGCTAGCGCTAGCGGTGATAACTTCAAAAAGATGACAGGGTAGGAAACACCTACCCGTGAACTGCGTTACCAACTGGGGTGGCAGCAAAAATGTGACTTAGAATCACGTTCGGTGTGAAGTCCCTGCCTCCCCAGACTCAGAAAACAACGATATAGTACATTTTAGAGATATTGGGCACAACTACACTTTCCAAATCTCATGCCTGGGAAACATATGTAGAACTGAAAACATGTCGGTGGGGTTTGTGGACGTGTTTAGAGTACATTTACACATAGCATGTCAAGACTCTTGTCGGGTGATGTAGCCAGTTGTGTGCGTTTACATTTTAGAACCGCGCGGGAAATGTGGGCCTATCGTGCGTCTGATTGGCTAGCGATGATGTCATTGACCTGTACAGCAGCGACCTGGTAACGCAGTTCGCCGGAAATTGGACTTTACAAAATGCTTCATATCTTCTTTAAAATATGGTATCATACCCCCAAAAAGTTTACATGGCTACTTAGTTACCCCTTGATTATAGATAGTATCAAGACTTTTATTTTCCTTATGGCATTTCGCAGAAAATAGGGTCTTTTGAAATGGCATTTCGCACCTAGTGTATACTAGTACTAAGTACCTAAGCAAGATGAAGCGTTCGGAAGTCGCTGTTCGGCTCTCGGCAATCTTCGGGAGACTTCGGTATCTGTTCGTATGGTTCTTTGGAATCCTCATCAGTTTGTGACCGTGTTCAGTGTACGTCTGATTCTAGGGAACCTTTCAACGGGCCGTGTTCACGGTGTTAACTATGTGTTATGTGACTGTATGATTTTTGGGAATATTTCAACGGACCACTGTATTGTGATGGCAACGGGCTGAATGAGTAGACACAGTGTATGTTCTAACATGCGCGAAACAATAATAAGGATTTTATTTAATGGTTTACAAAACAATGTAACGTTACATGTATTGTTAGATCTCAACAAAAACTCGGTGGCCTAGCGCCTGTGACCTAACTGCATCTAACCTTCTTCACTGGCCCATGATCAAACAAACCAGCCTGCTGTACAGTATATGCAGGCACTGGTAGTATTTAGAGCCCCAGCTTGTACAGGCACTAACCCTTCCGTACTGGACAGCCGTGTGTTATTGCAGACTGCGGGGAACTGTTGCCAGGTGACGACGAGGGCCTCGCCATGGACGACGGGACGGGCGATGCCTACATGGACTGGCCCGAGGACTCAGACGTCGACCTGAAAAATGTACGTCATGTTTCTGAGCATGTCAGCAGAACGTACTGCACCTGTGCAAAACCTGTATTATGCTATGCATAGCACTTCAGCAGAACATCTCACATAACGTCGTATTCGCGTATATAAGCTTAACACTCTTTTAACTCAGTTTATGTCAGAAAAGGTGTCCTCTGCAACTAATGCAACGGTGACCAAACATCCAACAAAAACCGTGACAAATCAGGGTTTTGCGCAGGTGCAGTACGTTCTGCCGACACGCTGTGTTTCTGTGTTTAAACATTACAACAGTCTTTCTGCGCATGAAGAGGACTAAGTCTGATATGAATAATCTTTATCTATTTTGTATGGATTTTGTCATCTATTGTGATGTATGTAATGTAACATAAGAAAAGAATTACAGCCCACAAATATTGACACCACTTTTACAGGTGGACCAGGTAGTTGAGGCTGCTGAAAGCATCAAGGTCATTGGTAATGACCTATTTAAGAAAGGAGAGTATGAGAGGGCAATACGGAAATACAGCAAGGCACTCAGGTAGGTGTTTTTTATTATGTAACTCAACCCATCACTAACAGTAACATGGTTAACACTAACAGTTTAACTCTTATAATTAGTCCAAGCATGCTAACTGCAAACTAATGTGCAAAGAGTCCAAATTTGTTATGTTTACCTTCGCAGAAGGAAAACATATTGTTTTTGCTCTGTTTCTTCTTCCTCTTCTTATTTTCCAAACAAATAAGGTCAATGACCTGAGCCTGATGTCTGTCGCCATGGTAACTAGTATTGGGTTACATTATGTTTCAATTTTATAGCAGGAGGGATTTAAACTGCTGTCACCATATATGTGAATGTGTTTGAGTAGGAATTAACAGAGCAAACCATATGCGAACATCATGCATTTGCTTTGCACATGTTACCTTTCTAGTTTGCATTTAGATCTGTATTGTACTCCAAAGTTTTGGTAAAAGGAAGAAATGATCAGTGCAATAACTCCCCCTGGCAGGTATCTGCATAAGTGCAGTGAAGAGGCAGAGATGGAGCCGGGAGGTGAGGAGGAGAAGAAGCTTGGTCCCATCATCATTCCCTGTATGCTGAACACAGCCGCCTGCAGGCTCAAACTCAAGCAGTACGAGAAGGCCATCGGGGACTGTGACTCTGTAAGTATCTTTGCGCCCTTACATAAACAGTCAAACCTGTACAAGTGATTACCTCTACATAAGGACCACCTGGTCGATGTGACTACATTTTGGTGGTCTCTTAGATTTTTCCCACTGCCTCAAAATTGATTGGATATTCATATTTTCTGACACAATCTACTCACCTTTAGGTTCTGGAGGTGGAGACTGACAATGCCAAGGCTTACTACAGAAGAGCACAGGGGCACTCAGGCATGGGGGATGAGGACAAGGCTATAGTGAGTAAACAGTGTCTCATTGTAGTTGTCTGCTTATTGGTATCTCAAGTAGATTGCAGTAAAAAAAAAGCATTTTCCTTTTTCATTAATACCGCATCTGTTTTCCAGGCTGATTTACAGAAAGCACAACAATTACAACCAAATGACAAAGGTAAACAATCTCTTTTTATCTAAGCCACTTTTCTTGCAGAATTTGAAGTGTTTACTAGTGTTTGTAGAATTCAGACATTTTCAAACATTCTTACTTGTAACTATATTTCAAGAGACTTTTCATCATGACATTCCCATAGTTATTCCATATCACCTACTCCTAAAATTGTCTTACTGCAACAACGTCACCCTTCTGTTGTTTCAGCTATCCTTGCTGAGTTAAAGAAGATAAAAGCTAAAGTGGACGCCTACAAGAAGAAGGAACAGCAGACCTATGCCAAGATGTTTGGCATGTGACGCACGCCTGCATCTTTAGCAGTAGCAAAATATAGCAATAGAATTTCACAATGGGTAGAGAGTTAGCAGAAATATCTACACTACTATATGTAGATAGTGTAACAAAATTTCTATCTTGCATGTTATCTAGACAATTGAGCTCTCGAAAGATATGAAAAATCTACACTTCTAAGTTAAGATAGTGCAACAAATTCCTAGCCTGGGTGCCATCCGGATTTTGGCTCCGCTACGCTCGAGAATTTTTTTAGCGTAGCGGAGCCAAAATCTGGATGGTACCCAGGCTAACAAAATCCATCTTGCATGTTGGAAAATACATTGCTGGCTTATATGTGTACTCGTCCCTTTACTATACCTGTGCTGTGCTGTGTGGTCTGTTGTATGGAATTAGAGCAACTAAAATATTGCTGTTGTAACAATCTTCTCAATCTGTAGCAACTACAAGAGCTCAACATGCACACTGGCTGTTGCATAGTTGTAAAATAGCATGTTTGAAGAAAAATAAAAATTTCCTTCATGACCAGTGTTTAGGCTCATTGCTTCTTGGTAACACAGGCATGTTTCTAGTTGACAAGTAGAAACTGTAAACTACAAACTTCAGTTTCCCTTTGCAAGATAACAGTAAAATGCTGTGAAAGTAAATGAGTTTATGAAGTACATTTGAGATTTTTTTTGTGTGTGTTCCTACTACGGTCTTCCCAATATACAAGACCTAAATATTTCATGCTCTGATATCTCTGAATTCTTGTTTTCCTGTGTTTCTGCTATTCCCAATATACAAACATCAATGTTGCCATACATCTAGAGTGTTGCTGTTCAGTGGAACTGGAAGGGCTACATCGCAGTATCAGTAAGGGGTGAAGTTTGCCATCTTTTCTTGCCTTATTTGGAAATACTGCTAATATTGGAAATAACAACACAGCAGAAAAACAACTTGGCTGCTTTGCATTTATTACCTCAAACTACAAGCATGAAGAAAGTTGCTCGGCAGTCAGGCAGTGATTGTTCTTCTGAAAGTTGGACTAAATCAAATTAACAATTTCAATCTCAGTTTTACAAAATCACAGCAGTAGAGGTTACCTCACAATCTCTCAAAGTTACCCTAATCAAAATATGAGTTACTGTTCCTTTCACCTATAAAAGGGGAGATTGACATTAACCTTTGCCGAACTTGACAATACCTAATGGACCTGACATTCACAGGGTTCATACTTGTGAATCTTCATCCATATGAGACACCTGCAATACAGGCTTGGTACCAAATGTTTTAGGGTCTCTCTTTACAAATGGCAACCCAGTTTTGAGCTATGTTTACAAAACCAGGGGTTTCACACAGTATGAAATCCACTACTCTTTTAGATCTAGCCATTTAGAAATTTGTGTGAAAATGGTCTCAATATGGAAATCCTTTGATGCTATTCAATTTGACATGAAATACTGTATTTTAAATCTAATATTTACATATAGATCACAGTCAGAGGGCAAGTTAGCAAAAATATAGTCTTAAGATCTGCATCCATGGGCTTCATTTTCATCATGTGAAAAATCTGAATTTAGAGAGACCTCACATACATGCCACAGTCAACATGGTCTGTGAACACATTTGGTCCTTGAGTAAGCCAGACAAAGACCATGCCACATCTAGACCACAATTTCTTCTTTATACAAAGGGAAACCCTGTCCAAATTACATCTTCATTCATACGTGTATTAAATTTCATTATAGCTCCCGAGTCCTACATCCTCTCCGCAAATATTTGTAGCCATAATTAGAGCTATAAGAGGTTTGGTAACCAAGCTAACAAATTTCTGGAAAGTGGGAATCCTCTTCAAGTCATGTATTTTCATACATCAAATCTCACCAACCATGATTCACCCGATCAGTATAAAAGAAATGTATGATACAACATTTAACATCATAACACACATTGTGTCTGGGGTAAGATGTCACCAGAAAAATCTTGAGCTTATTTAACTTAGATACAAAGCTGGCAAGTTGGTATATTGCACCATGTAACAAGTGCACAAATTACATGCTAAATGTATTTACAGTCTGTTTTTTAGTGATACAAAAGGACCTCGAAAAAAAAAGGAATTTTGCTCAGTTTGCCACATACAAATCATATTCAAAAGAGAGGAAAAAAAGATTCCACCAAAAAGAAATGAGCAGTTTTGTCATGTGGCAAGATTTTTTAATGTGGCAAACATTTTTAAAGTTTGACAAGTAATTTTATTACATGTACTATTATAATTTCATTTTTTTATAGTTTGTCACACAAATTGAAAACTGTCACACTCAAAATCAATGTTATTGAACAATTGTATCACATACATAATATACAGAAATTCGTAGCATATCTTGTCATGTCTTCATAGCCTTTTTTGCATTGTATATTTTTGGTTTTCTGTTAGCCTTAACTTTATGTGTTCAAGATGTGCTACATATACCCAAAAGCATGATTGCTATTTGCATGCTCTCTTCAACATGTGCAGCTATAGCCTGAACAGATTGAAGCAGTCTGTGGTTTCCTAGGTCTCCCCCTAGGTTCCTAGTAGCCTCTACCAGGCTTCAGGAGGCAGCTGGAAAGAGTAGAAATCGGCCAAATAAAGAGATAACATGCCGGGGTAGTTGGTTCACTAGTACAGTTTGCCGCTGTACTCTCTAGCAGACCAACTCCCCTAGCATGTTATCTCTTTATTTGGCCGATTTCTACTCTTTCCAGCCATCTCCTAAAGCCTGGTAGACGCTAGGTTCCTAGGCCTCCCCTTGGGTTCCTAGCTCTCCTCCAGTGGTGGCGAAGAGTAGGCCGACGTCTGCAGCGCCGAGCGGGGCTTCCCCTTCCCCTCGAAGTACGCCTCGATCTCCTCCAGGGAGACGTTCTTCGTCTCGGGCACGACAAAGAAGACGAACAGCACGCCCAGGAGGCAGATCCCGGCGAAGAACCAGAACGCGCCCTGCTCCGTGAACGCCTTCACCATGTCATCGAACTCCTTGGTCACGATGAAGGCGCCGAACCAGTTGAAGAGCGTGGCGATGCCGCTGGCCGTGCCTCGCGCGCGGGACGGGAAAATCTCGCTCATCATGAGCCACGGGATCGGCCCCCACCCCAGGGAGAAGGCTATGATGTAGACAATCATACTGGTGAGGGATAACCAGCTGAGATCAGGACCGGGGGCAGGGGTGGGTGTGGGTGTTGTTGCCAAGGTGAGGGTGGAGTTGTGACCGTTGTTCTGCTCCAGTTGGAAGTACAGGCCGAAGGTGACAGATGTGATTGCCATGCCGGTACCTGCCACGATCAGAAGGACGCGACGTCCCATCTTGTCCATCAGGAGACAGGCAACAAAGGTGGCAACCACCTGGGGGAGAGGGAACAAGTTGCTTAAAACGACACCCTTTTTTTAGATCAAAAAGTTCTGAATTGATGCTGATTTTTGACAGTGAAGATGAGTGTATTTGTGTGTCATTTGATGGATTTTTGCTGCTCATGACAAACAAAAATCTTGCCCAATCCGCCATCTTTGACAGATAAAAATTGGCGTATATTGTGGAAAGATGTGAGTAAATCAAGCTAAATCAACCAGCAAAATTTGCCCCTTGAAATGCAGGAAAAGGCATTTCAGAGGGTCCAGATGTCAAAAATTTTCAGGGGGAGCAAGCCACCAGATAGGATTGTCGCACCAGAGGCCCTCAACATGATGTTACATGTACGTGTATTTCAAACAAAATTGTTGATGACAGAAATTGATTTCAGGAGAAGGAATAAGAAAAACCATCCCACCTGTACAGCGCCCACTATGATGGCTCCTGTATTCCCCTCCACACCTGCATCCTCCAGGATGGACACGGAGTAGAAGATGACGGCGTTGATTCCGCTGAACTGCTGGAAGAACATCAGGGCCATCCCGATGGCAAAGGGCTTCAGCAGGCTCGGCTGGGTGAACTCTCTCCACGACATGCTCTCCTGGAGGGTGTAAGGAAATACATAACACTTCATTGGAATGGCAATTAAAAATTCAACATTTCCAGCAACACTGAAAAGTTAGATATATCTGTAAGTAAACTGTCCAAGTCAACCTATCCCTATAACGTTTTCCTGTAGGGTAAAAGGAAATACGTACATAACAATTCAATGGAAGGACAATTAAAAATTCAATATTTCCAGCAATACTGAAAAGTTAGATATTTCAGAAAGCAAATCATTCAGCTCAACCTGGGTAACAACCTACCAAATACAAGGTGAACACGCTACTCACTTGGCCATTGCACTGGTGATATTTAGCACTTAAGTAAACAATAAACCTAGGCCACACCAATATCAGCACTTTGGAGTTGACTCAGAGGCTGAAATATTTCTTTTTTTTTTTGCAAATCAGAAAAAAATGAAGTGGGCAAAGCCATGAACCAACAAATTAAATTGGTGTGGCCCAAGAATGATTGACACATGTCAGTCCAGCGTACCTGCTGCTGGAGGTTACTCTCGATGTCTGCACACTCGTCCTCCACATCCACGTCCGGCCCGCGCAGCCACAGCAGCGACGTCACCGCGGCCGGGCGACGACCTTTCGCCAGCAGCCAGCGGGGAGTCTCCGGCATGAACGCCATCGCAATGATCAGGATCACAGCTGAGAAACAACAAGAGAAAAACATATTTGAAGAAGCCTCACTGGGTCAGGCTACTGAGGAAGACCAGAATGACTGGTCGAAAGCTCTAGGTGAGAGACCTTTATTGTGTTGGATCAAAAGTTTTAACTTTAAATGCAGTCCTCTTCAGGTGCAAGAAACTTGTTGGTTTACTTGCTTTGTGTACTTTAAAATGTTTATCTATCATGTATTCTGTTCATTTTGAAGAAAGTAGCCGACGGGTAGCCTGTACCAGGCTTCAGAAAGAGCTGCAAAGTGTAGAAATTAGCCAAATAGACAGATAGCATGCCAGGAGAACTGGTCCACTAAAGGAGTATGATCTGCCACTTCTTTAGCAGACCACACTCCTTCTAAAGGTATATTATCTGTCGATTTGGCCAATTTCTACTCTTTAGAGCCTCTTCTGAAGCCTGTTTGGGGCTAGAAAAACTCCTTAACAATCATGAATCTACAATACCTGGGAGTAAGCAGACTATAGCGAGCCATCTCCAGCCCAGGAAGTTGCCAAACACGTACACCAGGAGGATCCCGATGGTCACCATCAACTGGAACGACGCGCCGAGCAGACCTCGCAAGCGGGGGGACGAGATCTCTGCCACATACACCTGCAAAAAAACAGTACGTCATTAAAACACAACATATTTTTGTCTCAAATTCACTTGTTCAGGCTTTTCTAAAACATTGACTTGTCATATTTGCTACACAAATGAATGTTGCAGCTTGTTGGTAAATGTTGTCATTAAATGTTAACAACTCCACCTGATCCAATGTTGTCAATTCTTCTTGATTTTCCTTGCAATAATAAACAGCTAAAGATAAAATGTATAGCACACGTAACAAGTTTCTGATAGTAGATAACTTTGTTACTTACAGGAACAGTAAGTGAGGTCATGCCTGCTGCAATGCCAGTCAACAGTCGACCCACGTACAACATAGCCAGGTTCTGAGCATAAGCCAGTATCAACCATCCACCTACATAAGAAAACAAACAAATGAGCTCATTAAGTTCTTGAATACACATGCAAGCAATTCTATTATGAAACAAGTTTGAACTGCAACAGCCAACACAAACAATTTCTTGTGTTGGCTATTGCAGTTCAAACTTGTTTCATAATGACTTCTGCCAACACAGATGAACTTTCAAGATAAAAAGTTCTATTGAGAACCATACACATGGAGCATATGTCACAGATTTTGCAATACCTGGTACAATGTAGTATGTAGTTTCACTGTCAGTGTCACATTAGATTTGATCAAGGAGCTTATCCTTGATTTAATGTATCAAAGTCACATTTGTGTGAGAACAAAGTTGTGTTTGTATATAATTCAGACTTTGCTCCTACCTGTGAATGGTAGTACTGCTGTCATAAGTGATGTTTTTCTCCCCAACGCCTCGATACACCATCCTCCTACCGGTCCTCCGAACATGGCACCGATCGCGGAGAGCGACCCAAACCAGGACCCATGGTAGCTGTCCATGTGTACGGCACCACTTTCCTGAAGGGGGCATGCATAGATTCCTAAGCATTACATAGGATGTATCTCAAACATGGATTGTAGATTGATATAACATTATACACAATGCAAATGTATGCATCAGTACATTACATTTACACAAATATGTAATGCTGGTTATGTATGTATGGTCACTATCACTGCCACTATTTGTTTGTACAACCGCTGTCATGGCTAAGGATCCGATGTATCTCAAACATGGACATGGATGTTTATGTATGCATACAACGTAAATGTATGCAAAAACATTACATATTATACATTACGTACATAATGTTGGTTACTGGTAACGTTATATGTATGATCATCACTGCCAAATTATATTTGTTTGTACTCTGATCTTTAAACGGTCAACAGTCATGTGCTCGTCATACTAAGTAATCTTTGCGGTCAAGTTTATCGACTAACCACAGTGGAATGTAATGTTAGTATACTAGTAGTAACCAAGGGATTTTTAACCTCCTTAGTATAACTGTTTAATAGCTCCTCACATTCGGGTTTCAAGACTATAGACAGATATATAGATATTGCAGTTCTTATTGCTTGATAGAACGACTGGACAATGCAAATACATGTAATTATTGAAGTTCTATAAACAAGTTACTAGTACTCCGCCCCCCTCCCTCCTCCTTCCCTCCCGTCATGTGACCGACCTTCTTTAGATCTGGCAGGGCAGGAGACGAGTACCCCAGCACCATGCCGAACGCCAGCGGGCCCAGGGTGGACACGAAGGTCGCCAGGAACTGGTTACGGACCTGTTCCCGGCGCCTGAGCCCGCCGTCGCCCGCCAGGATGGGCGCCGTGTCGCGATCACGGTCAGGATCCATCCCTTCAGACTGGATCGTCGCCATGTTGTTGCTGTCAACGCATGCGCAGGCACGCGAAGAACACGTCCTTGGCAAGAGAAGTCTGGTAACAGAACGAAAACGTCGGGCTAAAGATCGCATTTGGGGTCATTTAGAAAGTCAGCACGAGGAAAAGTGAATTCAGTGAACAATGTATACATATGTGCTTTGCTGGTAGAGCCAGAATTACCGTGGCCGACAAGTACAAAATTTTACACCGCAACTTTTGGTGTTTTACACCGCAACTTTTGGTGTTTTACACTGCAACTTTGGGTGTTTTACACTGCAACTTTTGCTGTGTTTTACACTGCAACTTTTGCTGTGTTTTACACTGCAACTTTTGCTGTGTTTTACACTGCAACTTTTGGTGTTTTACACTGCAACTTTTGCTGTGTTTTATACTGCAACTTTTGCTGTGTGGAAAACTTACATCCTCCCCTTTTATAATGGACGGTCCCCCTGTCAGGTCAAAGGTGACAAAGATGGCGGTGGCCTGAGAGTCACAGTGTCGTACTGTGACTGAGTGTGAGACATCAACAGAATGGGATCTTAAGAAATTGATCAAGCTGTGAATAAATTGATGATTTATAATTCTGTCTGTTCTTCTTTGTGTTCTAACTTTACTATACTTACACAACACTGTTATTGCCTCCATGATGACAGTTTATAAATTAGTGATTGACTAATTAACATTGATTAGATGTCTTATTAACTATAAATATTGTATACAATATTATTCTACATTTGTATACGAGCGATCGCTGTTTTTGTTTACATTATACGCATGCAAATTATTTGAAGACATATGCAAATTCTTGGTAGGCAAATCAGCCAACTGGCACCCACTTTTTGCCTACGGTGACGTCATGGCGATCGCTCGTATTGTTCCCTAATGATCGATAACTTACCTGAGTCAAGAGTCAACACTTCATAATTGAAAATAAGTCTTTATTGCTTCATAGTACCAAGTGGTCCCACATTTGACTCCCATAGGCCCAATATTTACTCATCAAATTATTAGCGACCTTGCGAGTCCGAATTCTCTAGCTAGAAAATGTCACGTGACTCAAAGGCCTTTAGAAAAAAACTAACGTCACAACGTAGCCAAGCTTTTCCTCTAAAAAACTTATGCACGAAAAGGATAACTCAGTCGACGTAGTTTGTATGCCATCGTTGTCACCTTTGACCTGACAGGGGGACCGTCCATTATAAAAGGGGAGGGGTGTAAGTTTTCCACACAGCAAAAGTTGCAGTGTAAAACACCAAAAGTTGCAGTGTAAAACACAGCAAAAGTTGCAGTGTAAAACACCCAAAGTTGCAGTGTAAAACACAGCAAAAGTTGCAGTGTAAAACACAGAAAAAGTTGCAGTGTAAAACACCCAAAGTTGCAGTGTAAAACACCAAAAGTTGCGGTGTAAAACACCAAAAGTTGCGGTGTAAAATTTTGTACTTGTCGGCCACGGTACGTACGCGTCATCGACACATGATGCGCAGTAACACCAACATATGCACCGGCACTTCTCATAACCGGTAATGCCACACGTACACTCGTAACAATAGTCCCCTGTTGTAGCAGTCAAAAAATACGTATAAGGGAAATAATAACAAGGAGAAGTCGTAGACATCGTCCCTCCATGAAATAGCTTGTTATTTGTAATCTTTTGGTGTATTT